ATTTAATATTAGCCAACTAGAACACTCTAGAACAGGTCTGGCACACAACTCCTGGGCCATCTCTTAAACAGTTCTGTGTTAGATTGCTTCCATCCTGTAGGGCATGGGTGATGGATTCGAGGGTGCCAAGTACAGATTATGCATAGTGTGCCTTAAGTAAGGTGAGCAAAAGGCACATAGAGAAAAGATAACTACAGAGGAAGTCCCAGCATGGCATAGGCTCTGAAAGCTTTTAGTCTGAGAACAGTCAGGGTCCTGCCCAGGTCCAGTGGAGACTGGAGTGCTGGGAGGGGATCTGGGGAGCATTAAGCAGTCTGACGGACCCTGATGGTCTCTTTGCAAAACACTCCCCTTTCTAATAGAGTGTCATCAAGGTTGAGGGAGACAGTACTGAGTCTGTGGCTTCCTATTCTAGGTTTAATACTCCAAATCCAAAAGCTCATACTTTCTAGCACTTTTTGACAACCATGAGGCCATCTAATTCATTCTTCAACTGCCACACTTCCTCTATGAACAGTGGAAACAAACAATCCCTGTTTGAAAAGAAAGGTATATCCTGTTCAGGAAGGGGTTGTGCCAGAGGATGTGACTAAGGAGAAATGGGGCACTGTGAGCCCTGCTCAGATGATCCTGTTCAGAGATACCATGCTACTGGAGATCCACAGGGACTAAGTCCCTTGGGAGAAGACTGAATTCCCTGTAAATGGGTTCATCCTTTGAAATGACTTGAGGGCCACTTCCCTACGTTAAGAACCATGAAATGTGTATCCAAGCCAGACAGACTGTGCCACACACTATGTTTCTGCTATTTCTCAGTGAAAGCTTTATTTTTCAAAGTTTATGGATATAATTTTTATATGACAAATTATAGTGTGTATGTGTGTAGCATTGGGGATTGAACCCAGGGCTTTGCACTTTGCTATACAAGTACTCTACCACCCAGCTTCATCCCCATCACTGATCCCCACCCCACCCCTGCCACCCCTGACTTTTTTGGTAGTACTGGCGATTGAACCTAGGGATGCTCTACCACAGAGCTACATCTCCAACCTTTTAAATTGTATTTTGAGACAGAGGCTGCCCTCAAACTTAAAATCCTCCTGCCTCAGCTCCCAAATAGCTGGAATTACAGGCATATGCCACCATTTCCAACTACTTTTTTTTTTTCCAGTGAAAGGTTTTTATCTGGGCCAATGACCAAAGATTACAGTCATAAAAGGCACAGTGATATCCACTGGCCTCAGAATTATAGGGCACTGTTGATATCCAATATAAGGTGTTCTTAATCTGCAGCTTAGAAAACTTTAGTGACTCTCTGCTATTATCAGATTATTTACAAATTGTTATTCAGTTATTTAAGGTTGCCTATTATATGATCTTTGTTTTTCCAACCAGTTTTCTTTGTTCCTTTTTAAATAAAGAGATGGGGTTTCACTCTGTTACACAGGCGGGCTTTTAATCCTCCTGTCTCAACCTCCCAAGTATTTGGGACTATAGGCATGTGCCACAACACCTGGCCAGTAAACCTATTATAAGTGTACAGTTGGTGAATTTTGAAACATATGCACTCATGTGCTATCATCACTACAATCAAGATATGGAACATTTCCACTACCCCACATTTCCTTTCTATCTCTTCCCAGTCACAATCCACCTACTACCCCTGATCCCAGGCAGCCACCGATCTACTTTCTATAATTTTATATTAGATTTGAATTGTCACAGATGTACAAATGGAACCATATACTATGCAGCCATTTAGATCTGGCTTCTTTCACCTAGTGTAGTAATGCTTTTGAGATTCATCCATGTTGTCATGTCACCAGACAGGTATTTTAGAGGAGAGGGCAAAGGGACCTCAACTCAGCCTCTGTGGATCTTGATTTATATTGCTGAAAAGAATTCCAGGATGTGTCAAAAGCAAGGCACAAGCAATGATTTACTGAGGACCTCAAGGGTATACATACCCCAAAGCCAGGGTGTGGGTGCCCCCTTGTCTCCCAGAGAAGACAAGTGACACACTCAGGGTTGAGCTCTATGACTGTGTGTATGATTTTCCTAGGAAGAAATGTTCAAGTTCTCAAGCAATCTACTGTGAAAAACCCCATGTCAGTCAGCTAATATTTGGAGTTCAGAATGTTTCTTTTCAGTTAACCTATAAATCTGTGGTAGGCATATTGTGTTAAGTCTTTGAATCTGGTGCATTTAAATGATGTTTTTGTTTTAGTTGACCTGGTACAGGCATATGCTGAAGGTTTTGTTCATCTAACTAAAGAGACAAGAATGACTGGTCATGCTTGAAAACAAAAATAAACAGGAACAGACCAGTGATGTATTATTAAGCACTGGAGGGGCACATTTTCAGGAGGAAAATGGCAACTGGGTACAAGAGGGGCCTGAGTTTTATAGGGTTCATTTAGACTTGAATCATAGCAGAATATGTCAGTTGGACAGTCTGAGGGAACAGTTGTGAAAGTTCAAAGCCCATTGTTGCTGGGAAATGGTAGAAGTCCAGAGCCAATGGTTTTCCTTCTCTCCCTGGGACCCATTGTCCTCCTTTTTCTCCCTGGGGGTTAGTGCTCCCCTTCTTCTTCTGGGGGTTGTTGTTTTCCTTATCCTTCAAAGCTCATGGATCCAGGTCTCCTTCTACCAAGGGTCTTTTTTTTTTCTCTTTTCCACGAGAGTGAACCTATCTCAGTAACATGTTTCAAAAGTTTGTTTCTTTTTATTGCCCAGTAGTTGTCTTGGTGTATGGATGTACCACAATTTGTGTATCCATTCATCAGTTGATGGGCATTTGAGTTGTTTCTAGTTTGGGGCCATTATGAATGAAGTTGCTTTGAAGATGGGTGTATAAACAAACTTCTAAAAACCTAGAAAATTTAACTGAACAATCTGGCAAGTTTTGATAAACAGGCTGCCCCTGGGGTGGCCAAGGGTTAGTCCAATAGTTATAGATGAGTTGAAGAGTAAGCAACTAGTTTTGTGAAGGAACAACAGCCAAAAATGGGAGGAAATGCCAATTCTAATGCTGATCAGGCATCTTCACAGCATGGGAAAAATGAATTTCGACATCATTGGCAGGATGGAGTAACACACTTAGCTGTTTTATTTTGACAGGGACTGGAATTCAACCAATAGACTCAAAACTATTTTCTCCAGCTACTTCTTCGGGATGTTTGATGGTCAGTCCAGCAGTAAAACAAAGAACTCTATATTCAGAGTCAGAAAGACTTTACTGGCCATGGCGCCTTGGACAGGGATAAGTAACCTTGGCAGATGGGCATAAAAAAGACTCCCTACCTTAAGGGCTGATGGGAGGATAAAATAAAAATCTATGGGACTTAGGTTTTGAATCCCAACTTTATTGCTCCTACAAACACACTGTATTACAGTCTCTTAGTCTTCCTAGTTTCCTTCCCTCGTTCCACTGTGAGGTAACAGCATTACCTCACTAGGCTGTAGGCAGCACAACTACACGATGTTACACTGCCAGGATTGTCTTAGAAGATGCTTGTTGACCCTGTTCATTGCATGCTCAGTTTTTTTTTTTTTTTTTAATTTCCCTCCATATTCAAACTCCACTGGCTGCTTGTAACTCAAATGAAATGGAATTGCTTTAGGGTGATTTAGAAATCTCCCTGTAGTCAATGTTGTTCACCTTCCTGAAAAGGTGGAGATCTTTTCCGTCTCACCAGCTATCATCTGGGTTTTGAGTGTATGAGTTAATTCTGAAGTGATTGTGACCACACCTGAGAGCTCGGTGTCACTAGGGGCGTTTATCCGGCACAGGTTGCCCTCCTATGGAGCCAAGGTCGGGCTCGTCAGTCCCTTTCCCAGCCGGCCTCCTCCTCTCCTTGGCAGCCCTTTGGCTCCACCATCCTCCGCCTTTCCAGCGCCGGCAAATCCAGGCGAGCGCCTCGCCCACTGGCGAATTTGTTTATTTGTTCTGAGGTTTCTCCAGGCTTCCGGCAGTGGCGCTTGGTACCGGCCGTTTTGCTCCAGGAAATGTTAGAAGCGCAGATTTTTCTGTTTCTTGGGACCCAGGCGCACAGTTAGGCGGTTCGGACCTCTCCCTTGGCGGGCGGGTCCCAGGGACTCAGCCAGTGCGCACCTGGGGCATCGCAGGGTGTGAGAGGCGGGTCCCAGCGCCCCGGCTGAGTGGGCAGAGCCCCGCGCGCGCAGCTCTGTGCCCTTGGCAAGGGGACAGGTGTATGGAGGAGGTTTCGCGCCCTTTTGGTACAAAGTCCCTCCTATTTACTATCCGCGGTGGAAAGGGGGAGGGAGAAACCTTCCACTGAGCCCGGAAGAGGCGGGACCGGCGGTGGGGTAAACGCTGCGGGAGTTTGAATGCTCGCGCGCATCTCCCATTGGAGGGTAGCGCCCGCCTCTCCCCGCCGCTGATTTGCTAAGGGCGGGGCCAGGTGCTTGATTTCAAGTTTGCTTAATGTTTTCATTTTGCAAGTCTGTGGAACCCAGTTTTTTTTTTTTAAACCTTCTGGAGAAGGGCTATGAATTTTTTTTTTAACCCTTCCTCCCTCCAATAAAAAAAGAACGGTGTTCTGGAAAAACGTCCTAAGATACTTTAGTGTGTACTGCTGCTGCATACACTAAACAGTATGGCTGTTTTGAAAATGCATCTTTATTGAGGAAGGAGGTAAAAAAAACAAGCTAGCGAAAACTGGGAGTTGTTTCATTTGCCTATATGATTATTTGGACCTTTCGAATTTCCTTTTTTTTTTTTTTTTTTTTTAAAAAAGCATGAATATAAAAAAAAGGAAGTGCTAAGTAATGTAGTGCCGAAAAACTTATGGTGTTTTAAGAAAAATTCAAAAAGTAAAATGAGAATTTTGTTGGAAAAAAAAGTAACAAAGACACAACTTTCGCATTTTCAATTAGAAACTCTACTTCCATTTAGCTTGTAGTAGTTCTGTAATATGCTACTAAAGGGGAAAAAACAGATTCTTATATTTTCTCTTCCCTTCCATTTTATTTTCCAGTCCAGAGCACAACCACCAGAAGACAACAGAAAGAAGCCTGTTTTGGGGAAACTTGGCACCCTATTCACGTCAGGAAGGAAAAGGAGCACCAGAAATGGGTTAGAGAGCCCCACCAGCCCAAGTGTCAAATCAGTCTCTCCCAAAGATATAACTTCTAAACTCCCTGAAAGCGAGAGCGACAAGAGTAAGTCTCAGAGCAGCCAACCAAAGCAGACAGACAGGAGCGAGGAGGGATCCATTCAGGAGGCAGACAGCGAGAAATCCGAGAGTTGTGTCCAGGCAGTCCCCTCTGATGCCGAACCGTCACCTTGCTCAAACAGCAGTGCAGCGGGTGTGCAGCAGTGCCATGAAAGTGATTCACCCCAATTAGAACCTCTGCAGGTCGAGGGAGAGACTTTCCCAGATGCCACCACCGCTGCCAAGCAGTCGCATTCCACACCAGGGAATTCCTCTAGGCAAGAGCACGCAGAGACGCTCTCCCGCAGTCTGGGGGCGGACCCTTTGCCTGGCACTGGAGGTGAACGGGAGACAGCCTCAGGTGCGAGGGGTGTGCCCGAGTCGCCCACCCGGGAGCAATCCGCCGGAGGACTTGAGGAAGCCCCTAGCGTGGGTACGCAAGAAAGTTCCCTGCTGCGCCTAGACACGCGCATCCCGCCAGGTGAAGGCGCATCTGCTCCGCCAGGTGACTGTCCTGACGAGTGCACAGAAAATAGGAGTAGCTCCGGGCAGGCCAGCGGCACAGCCGCGCGTGGCGATCGCGCCCACCCCGCCAAAGTGTTGACTTTGGATATCTATTTGAGTAAGACTGAGGTGTCGGAGGTGGAAGAACCTGTGGTGATTACTCCCGGGGCCGAAGATTGCGGCGATTCTGACGACATGGAGAGGAGATCGAGCGGTCGCAGATCGGGCAGGCGGAGGAAATCTCAGAAATCCACCGACTCTCCTGGCGCAGACGCCACTCTGCCCGAGAGCGCGGCGAGAGACGACGCGGTGTTCGACGACGAGGTGGCGCTACATGCGGCCACCGAGAATGTCTTTGCGGAAAAGAAAGTGAAATCTCCGCGGGCGGCCCTCGACGGGGGCGTTGCCTCCGCTGCCGGCCCCGAGTCCAAGCCCAGCCCTGGCCCCAAAGGGCAGCTTCGAGGGGAGTCCGACCGGAGCAAACAACCACTCCCGGCTTCGTCCCCCACCAAGAGGAAGGGCAGGAGCCGCGTTCCTGAGGCTGTGCCCAGCCAGCCTGCCAGCGGCCCGCGGTCTCCTGCCAAGGAGTCCCCACCCAAGAGGGCGCCGGCGTCCGACCCCAGCTCGGTAGCCAAGAGCACCGCGGCCGACTGCGGGGAGGAGGCGGCCCGGGTCATTCCTCGTGAGCTCACGGTCAAGAGCAGCTCCCTGCTGCCAGAGATCAAGCCCGAGCACAAGAGGGGTCCGTTCCCCAACCACTTCGATGGCCGGGCAGAGGGAGGCCGAAGCAAAGACCTGGGCAGATCGTCCGGAGCTTCGGATGCCGACGGCTTAAAGCCCAGGAACCATTTCGGTGTGGGCAGGTCAACGGTGACCACTAAAGTGACCCTGTAAGTAGCGGCGGAATTGGTCCTGAGTTGTGTGTCTGCAGACGTGCTGGGGGTGGGGCGCTCTGAGAAGTTCAGGGTCTTTGCATTTGTGGAAGAATTGTCTGTGTGCTGAATTTTCTCCTCTGTGTTGAACTTTTGAGAGTAAAGTACCCAGTCCTTAATGAATAACGTGAGTTAAGATTTAAGAAGATGGGGGAGAGATCTTAATAATTCTTATTAATATAAGTTCTAAGTTAAATTAATATAAAAATTAGGATATCCCTTGAGGCTCACTGTTTATGTGAATAATGCAGATAAGACTTAATGATGTGACACGAGCTAATTATAGCCTTAATTCAAGATGTTCACCGGCATACCTGTAAGACATTCTTGAAATATATATGGAGCAAACACTAATATATTCAGTAACTCTGACTTGAGTCGTATCACTGCGGAACTTAGTGCATTGCCCCAAAGCTCTTAAAAACAACAACAAAACAATTTCCTATTACAAGGATCTTGTTTGCCTCTTTCTCTGATGTTAGAGAGCCTGCGATTTTCGCTCCCAGGTTGAAAAATCAGTTTTCAGTTACTGAAGCAAAGAAAAAAGTGTTCTTACTGGAAAATAATTTACTAAGTGAGAAGGCACCAAACAACAGACTGTAACTATGTTAGTTAATTGATTTAACAAATATTTATTGAGTACCTTCTGTGCGGAGTATTGTTCTAGGTACTATGGGAGGAAAATAGTATAAATATGATTCAGCATGCCACCCTTGAAATGTTTATGGCCCCCTCTGGCACAAAAGAAGCACACAAATCAAACAACGTGAGGTGGTATCTGATAAAACTGCCAAGTGGATGTTGTTGCTGTGAAGGCTGGGGGAGTGCAAGGGAGGACAAAACCACTGAGGGATTTTTGGAGGAACTGAGGCTGGTGCCTTGAGGGTAAATGTGATTTGTATAGATGGGCAGGATCAGGATATGATGTAAAACTTCCCCCATTCCCATCCGGCACTCCAGTTAGCACAGGTGAAAAATGATTACGGTGCTCTAGTTTTTCCTACATTCACACATTTGTTAAGTGAGCGGGTATTTTCACATTAGCATTCTTGAATGGTTTCATTCTGTTTGATTTCTTGGAGAAGTAAGCTTTGGAGTAGAAAGTCTGGTAAACACTTGAGGAAGATTTGCTTAGTGAATAACATGAGCTACCTTACCAGCTGCCAACTTAGAGACCTTTGATATAGTCAGCTATTTATTCTGTAACAGTAGCGTTGGAGACATAAGCTGTGAATGATGCTCATTATTTGCAGAAGACCAGTGTGACCCAACACTGAAACCTCCTAAGTGTGAGTTTAGAGAAGTTGTTGTATACTAGATTAAGGAAGCTTCACTTGTCTTCCAATCAGGAGAGAGCTGTGAAAAAACCAGAAAAGTTATACTGTTTAGGAATAGGGTGAACAAACAGCAGGAAGTGGATCTTACAATGGAACTCTTCTTCCTTTGTTGCTTTCTATTGAACTAAACCAACTGTCTTTTTCTCGGAATTGATTAGCTTCTACCTAAAACTTCTCTTTGCCACTCGGTTTATTTAATTTTGTTCTGCACAGTGCCTCGCACTTGGTGAATTGATAAACTATTGAGATGGAAAATTAATAATTCTTTCTAGTCCTTTGACCCATTTCTGTTTGAGGGTCAAATTAAAGCGGTTCTCAGACCCTTTTAATTCTTCCTGTGGCTATACTGCAAGTAACGATGTTAATCAGGTTATATTTAAAAAACAATTTGAGACTGAAGAGTTAGAAAAACCATTGTATATTCCCTGAAAAATAATGACAGTATAAAGAAGCTGAATGCTTCTTTATACTGTTAGAAAAATTACTTCTTCCAAGTTCTGTACCAAATACTGAATGTTGAAATTCTTAAAATGATAAGTTTAAAAGAAGGGAGAATTTTCCTCTTAGAATAACTTTGACTTTTTAGACTCCAGATTCTTTTCCCCTCTCACATTTTAATGAAGGCATTACAACATGAATTATGGGAGCCTTCCTTTTAATCAGTCTGAACTAGGTTAATTGCAGTGACTCTTGGTAGCAGAATTTAATAGCACAGAAAGTCTGGTTGTAAAAGGTATTTTGATCTGGTGAAAATCTTTAATGTGCAGATGTTTCCTATCCTTAGCTGTTGGCTAACCTGTGGGGTTTTCCATTTATATGCAAAGGTACACTTTGATGTTTGACTTGAGGACTGTTCCTTGAGCTGATTGGTGGGAATTTTAAAAATGTATATTCCCTGTTATGTGGCTCTCCCTCATTGATTGAGATAGCATTTGTAAACTTTTTGTAATCATCTCACTGGTTTTATAATTTAATCTTTAAAGAGATGCTTATATAAGTAAATTTTGCTTTCTAATTTAAGACCTGGGCCTAAAATAAGAGAGCCGCAGTATTTTATGAAGTCAATGGGGAAAGCAATGCCTGGAAGAAAGTTATGAGTATATATAAAATTTAGTATTTAAATAAAAGTTTAAAAATCAAAATCCAAATTCTCTTTTGGGGAGGACTTGTTGGCAAATAGCCCAGACTTCTCATTTTATCCAGAAGGATAAGGTGTCTCCCCCAGAGTTATTCTGCCTGTTCCTTCTAGAAGCTCCACCTGCAAGGAATTTCTGTGCTTTTCCACTTTTGTGTTCTATGAGAATACACTATCTGATCAACTTATCTGATAGATCTCCTGATAACTCTTTGACTCCTTAAGTGATAAAGATGGAAAGAGGAGCAGTCATTCAGGCCAGTCTAGTCTGACCCTGAAAAGGAAGCAGCATGTATAGTGGATGGGAGTATGGTTTCCGAGAGCAGAAGACCTGCTTCCTGGCTCTGCCAATTACTAGCTGTGCAGCCTCAGGCAAGTTACTTACCTTCGATAAGCCTCTACTTCCTCACCTTAAAACAGAATATACAAAGCTGTACATTAAGTAAACCAAGCATTTCTCAAGTGCTTGGCAATCAGTGACTGTTAGTGGTTATTATTTCTCTCTCCCACTTTATAAACCACTATAGCAATTCAAAAAAAATCTTTGGAACCCTTTCTTCTAGAAAAGCCATATAGAAGCAATATATCAAACAGGTAAGCAGGAAGTGATTGGTTGAAAGGAGGTGGGCATCCCTGTTCTGCAGTCTCTACTGACCTCAGTCAAGGATTTAAAGAGGACTTAAGAATTCTTTCAACTGTATGTAAGGGAAAATAAAAACAAGTCTGTTTAAACCATCTAGGTGTTATTATTTTTTTCTTTAAAGATAGAGAAGGTAGAGTCCAGAGAGGTAAAGTAACTTGACCAAGTTCATACAGATAATTAGTGTGAGAGCCAGAACTAGAGCCAGCACATGCCCAACAGAGCACATTTTGTTTTTATGAAAGAAGGCACTGTGTACATCCAAAGCCATTATTTCCATTAGGGAGTAGTCATATCCAAGAAATGTGACAGAGAGGGAGCCCTTTTGCCTGGTAAGTGGTAACAAAACCAACAATTGAATAAATAACAACTAAATTATGGTTAAGGTATAATGGACTTTAATGCAGAAAGGTGAAGTTTCCTTTCTTTTTTTTTAAAAAAAAAAGACAAGATAGCAAACTCTATGAACAGAATTACTTCAGCTCTATTAAAAAATACTTAACTATGTATATAAAAAGATGGGAAATGAACTAAAATATTAACAGGGGTATCTTCTGAGTGGTAAGATTATGAATGATTATAAAAGTCTTTTTCAAATTTCCTATAGTGAACACAATGTAATCAAAATTTTTATTAAAGAAGGATGGGAACAAAATACTATTGAACAACATTCAATAATGGATGAACTTTTTAATAATCTAATCTTTTGAGTTTTTTTGAGAATTAAGATAAAAGCCATTGATGTTTGGGGAAATAATTTATGTATTTTAAGTACAGGAATGCATTAAGCACTTGAATTTGTTCTACTATTCTTCAGATCCTGTAATATCTTCTGACTCTAGTGCCAAGCATTAATATATGTCGGCATTTAGTAAACTTGTTAGCCCCTCACCCTTAGGATTTCTTAACTATGTTATCTTCTCATTCTTAATATGCAAGCAAAACATCCATTAGAAATAAATGATGGCATATTTAGCATTGCTTAAAATTTTTCATTAAAAATGTTATCAGAAAGATATTGGCTTTTCATACTTTTCTAATAAAATGGCTTGTGTGTTTGCTTTTTAAAACTGAGCCAGTAACTACCCTACTTCTTTTTTCTCACAGCCCTGCCAAACCCAAACACGTGGAACTAAACCTGAAAACCCCTAAGAACCCTGACAGTTTAGCAAATGAACATAACTCATTTAGCCAGCCAGTTCATAAGGGAAACACTGCTACCAAAATCTCCTTATTTGAAAACAAACGAGTGAACAGTAGTCCAAGACACACTGACATTCGAGGCACAAGGAACATTCCCTCTAATAAGACATTTGTTGGGAGAGCAAAGCTGAATTTAGCCAAAAAAGCCAAGGAAATGGAGCAACCAGAAAAGAGAATAATGCCAAATAGTCACCATAATGGTGTGGTGGTGAAGGAACCCTCTACAGAAACCAAAGTCACTCTCCCTAAAGAAGAGATTCTCTCAGCAGCCAGAGAAATGGGAGGGGAGCCCACCGAAGGTCAAGCTCTTGGTCCCCAGCCTAACCAAGATGACAAAGCAGACGTGCAAACAGATGCTGGCTGTTCTTCAGAACCAGTGGTTGCTGCTGTGATTCCTGTCAAGGACCGTAAGCTCTTAGGAGAGGACAACTCTGAGGCTGCTGAAAGCAAAAGACCTGGACTTGAAAATATGATTGATACAGCAAAAGACACCCCCACCATTCTTGATGCCAAAGATTCACTTCCAAAGCCCCAGGGTACATTGCCTGACTCACAGCCCCAGGATGAGTCATTCAAGAAGCCTTCTCTTCCTCTGCCTGTGGATGTTCCCAAAGACGAATGTGCTCAAGCTCCCATAAGCAATTTTGCCTGCACTGATCTAAAAGTGTCAGAAAACCATAATGGGTGTATTTTGCCTGTGTCTCACAGTGAGAAAATTCCCCTGTCCAAACTTGGAGGAGGAGAAGGAAACCCTCCTTCTTCCCCAGAGCCCAGCCCAGAAGCTGTGGTAAATGAATGTCCATCCAAGGTCCTTGTCCAGGTCAGGTCCTTCGTTCTTCCTGTGGAGAGCCCTCAGGATGTGAGCTCCCAGATCATTTCAGAAAACTCTGAAGTTAAAGAAGTGCAGTTGCCAAGTTGTCACAATAATGAACTTGAAGTGGTTTCCGTTGCAAGTTGTGCTCCCCAGCAAGAGGAAGTCCTGGGCACATCACCCAAACGCACTCATGGCAAAGAGGAACATGTGGCAAAATCTGTCCCACACGTCACACCACCGGAGTGCGAGAAAGCTCTGCCCATCCAGGCTGAAAGTCAGGGCAGCCAAAAACACCCGGTGGCTGAGTGTAGCCCCGTCAACTCTCCCACCAGCAGAAATCATTCAGAAACTCCTCAGAGGCCAGATCTAAACATGGTGAATGGCAAGGACACCCCTACCAGTCTTTTGAATGTTTCTGCTGGTAGTGATGATAGTGTATTTGATTCTTCCTCTGATATGGAAAAATTCACAGAAATTATAAAAAATATGGACAGCACAATTTGTGTGCCCCAGAAGAAAAAGAAGACCAGGATGCCAAACTCCCCTGCCCCTCACTTCGCTATGCCTCCTATTCATGAGGACAATTTAGAAAAGGTGTTTGACCCTAACGTGTTCACCTTCGGTTTGGGGAAAAAGAAGGAAAGCCAGACAGAAATGTCACCTGCTTTACATTTGATGCAGAACCTCGACCCCAAATCCAAACTGAGGCCCAAACGTGCATCCACCGAGCAGAGTGTCCTCTTCAAGTCCTTGCACACTAACACTACTAATGGAAAAAGTGAACCTCAGCCCACTTTAGAAAAATATGACAAAGAGAACAGGGACATTACCAATGGTGGAGTTAAGAGATCAAGGTTAGAAAAGAGTGCGCTTTTCTCAAGCATGTTATCTTCTTTGCCACAAGACAAAGTCTTCTCTCCCTCTGTGACATCAGTCAACAGTATGACCACTTCTTTCAGCACTTCTCAGAACAGTTCTCTGTCTCGGTCTTCAGTGGTACAGCCCCTGAAGGAGGGTGCCCCGCCCTGTGGCTTAGACAAAGAACAGCCAAGTCTTCCACCTCACCACTCCTTAAAGGTCTTCAATTTCAACTCGGCAAATGCATCTCATTCAGATCTGAAAAGTCCAAGCCACATGGAAAAACACCTGCAAAAAGAGGAAAACAAAGAAGACCTGAATTCACGAAGCAATCTACACTTGCCAGAATCGAAATTTTCAGAATTTTCCAAACTGAAAAACAATGATGGTATGGAAAAGGCTAATCATACTGAAAGTGTTCTTAAATCCAACTTGCCAAACCATGGAAACAGTGATACCGACTTCATGGGTCTTTTCAAATCAAGCCGGTACGACCCAGGCATTTCTTTTTCTGGAATGCCATTGTCAGATACCACGGTAAGTACCAACATGGTGTCATTTATTTGGAGTATTGATAAAGCTAGAGGAGAGAGAGATGATGAGCAGTTTATGTTGTTCTTTAGAAATGGTTGTGCTCAGGTGCAGTAGTTTTGATTCATCCTTTGTTCGAAATCCTTGTATGTAGAAGGAATTTGTAAGGGCCCAAGAAAAAAAGGTACTAAGACTCTTTTCTCAAGACATTGCGTGATCTAGGCGGGCAAGTGAACTACATATTTTATGGCACGTATGAATTTGCAACTTGTATTATGACAAGTATACAAAAAAAGCTTTGAGAATTCAGAGGCAGATAAAACATTTTTTCTTACCTCTTCGGTGTAAAAACACTCCATACTATTCTTAGAATTCTGAAGATTTGTGAAGCAGCTTCCTCTATTGGGAAAGCCCTACCCAGCCAACAAAAGCTTTTCTTTCTTCCTTCTTTTACATTGTGAAATTTTACTTTTATTCTTCCTATTAAGTATTTATCCCCTATAGTTGAGAAAGCATTTTTTGTTTACTAGGAATAAGTTTTCATCAAGGAAAAAAAAAATGTTTTCCTGCAAAGTTTTAGGGCAGAAAATTTTTGGTTTACGTTAGATCTTTCCTTAAATATTATAGAGAGGACAGCAACATATGATTTTGAGGGACAATTATGATTTCTCCATCTTCTTCACCTGACTGTATGAAGTTTTTTTTTTCCTTTTGCCTGTGTGTGTGCATGTGATTAAACCCAAGACCTGTGCATGCTAAACATATATTCTGAGCAATATCCCAGCCAGAAGTTATTTTATTTTTTTATTTATTTTTTAGTTGTTGATACATGTTTATTTCATTTATTTATATGTGGTGCTGAGAATCAAACCCAGTGCCTCATACATGCCAGGCAAGAGCGCTACTACTGAGCCCTAGCCCCATCCCCAGAAGTTGTTTTCTTTCCTCGGTTTTTTCAGGTGAATTTGTGCCGTTTTGCCACCAAGCTTGATACTCAAGTTGAGGGAGGACAATGAAAGAGGAAGGCAGAATATCAGGTTTAGAGCTCAGCTTTCTTCACCTAGAAACCAGAGTGGAACTGAATAAACAGGAATGGAACTGAATCTCTGTGGCCCACCTGTGAGCCAGCTACCTGGCAAGCGTGGACCATGATCCACCACAGACTGCCCAGGCAGAAGACACCTCGCTCTCTCCTCATCTGGCCAAGGCACTGCAGTATGATTCAGTGTGTTGTGTTGGCTTTCGCAACAATCCCATCAGAGATTGTGATTTGGAAGTGCTTGTGAAATGTAGAGATGGGTTTCCAGAGGTGGTACAGATCCCCTCTTTCATGTGATTTTGTAAACCTGTGGGTTTCAGACTTTTTGGTCTTAAGATGCATTTACATTTTAAAATTATATAAAATATGGTTTCTGCCTATCAGAATTTAGTATATTAGAAATTAACATTGAGAGAAAAATTGAAACACCAGAAAACACAAGTGCACGTTCCCTTAACCTTCAAAGCAATCTGTTGTCACATGTCACAGAACCTTGTACTCTTCTGCACACTTCTGAGAAAAGAGAGATGGAAAGGGGTAATTGCCTCATGTTATTTTGAAAATAGCTTTGACTTCATGGACAGCCTGAAAGGATCTTGGGAACCTACTAGGGACATCTGGATCATACTTTGAAAACTGAATTTGCCTATAACAGTCAGAAATCATAAGATTCCTAGCCAGGCATTCCTAGCGCATTCCTGTGTCTAAATAAAATTAAAAAAAAAAAATAAGGCTGGGGATGTGACTCAGTGGCCAAGTTTCCCTGAGTTCAATACCTGGTACAAAAAACAAAACAAAACAAAACAAAAAACTGGAGAAATCATAAGATTCTTCACTATTTCTCTCAAGAACAAAATTTCTGCTAGTTCACTTCCCATTCATTATGACTTTGTTCTTTTACAATTATTCTTAGATCACTTCTGTTGTTTGACAATCTGACATGTCTGACAACACAATATATAAAATTTCCCTATGAAAATCTAATCAGATGGAGTAAAAAGGAAAAACTAAATGCTCTGGGTTTTTTTCATAGGACTTTTTATAATTTTTGTAAAAAAAAAGTGTTTTTTTGTAGGTCCTATCCTTTATTGACTATAGAATTATTTTGCTTTAAATTGTAGGTATTTCCTTTAGTTTGTCCACTTCTAATGTATGCATGTAAAAACATAAGTATATGCTATTTTGATTTGTAATAATGCTCCAGTGGGGTTTTCTGTGATCTTGTGGATAGATCCCACTTTGGTATGATGTAAGAGCAGTCAGATCAAAGGTTAGTCTAGAAGAGGCATTCTGGTCAGCATTGAAAGTAGTTCATGTTTTGTAATATTTTTACATGTATAATTACTATTTTTATTATCTTTTGTGTTTCTGGTTTTACTTGTCTTGTCAGATGGTCTTGAAAATAATTAGTTTCAAAGTCATATAAAAGGTATTCTGTTCATCAGAAAGGGGGGATTAATATACCATGTGCAGTGTACGCTATGAAATACACCATACTCATTTTTATTTAAACTAGTAGATGTTACTATGAAAACACAATATTTACAGATTCTGGTAGAAAGTGTCTGAACACATAAAACTGACTCAACTCTTTCTAGATAAGTGATTAGTACATTCCAATCTCTTTTTATATATCTGAGATTACACGGAGATGATCTGAATCTCAGTTGATTCTTATTCTGTGAATTGACATAAAACATAGGTGTGACTTTTGGGCCCTGAGTTTCTAGCATTGGTGGAAATATTCTAGACATTTAAATGAAGAAAACCTGAAATGGCAAAAACAGTTGGGGCTGGGGGAAGCTCTTTTTTTGTTTGTTTGTTTTTGTATTAGTGATTGAATCCAGGGGCGTTTAACCACTGAGCCACATCCCCAACCCTATTTTATGTTTCATTTAGAGAGGAGGTCTCACTGAGTTGCTTAGGACCTCACTCAGTTGCTGAGGCTGGCTTTGAACTTGTGATCCTCCTGCCTCAGCCTCCTGAGTTGCTGGAATTACAGGCATGTGCCACCAAGCTGGCTAGGGGAAGCTCTTAATAATATAAACTCAAAAGAGTTTTAATACAAGTTTGGCATAAAGATGAACATGTTTCAAAACTGTTAAACTATGAGGTAAATTTGATCGTACTTAAAGAATTATAGGTGGGAAAAAGAGGACTGCTATGCAAAGTTGTAATTATTTGTTGTGTTTTTATTCATCTCATTACAGACACTGAGAGGAAGTAGTCAAAACAAACTCAATCCCCGACCTGGAAAGGTAAGATTATTTTCTATTTCTAGTCTAGATTTTTTATCTTGATCTGATAGGCAAAGTGCTACCACTTCCACTTTCTTGTAGGTGGTGATATTCAGTGAGCCCTATGTCTCGGAGAAGTGCATTGAAGTTTTCAGGGATATTCAGGATTGCAGTTCTTGGAGCCTCTCTCCAGTAGTACTCGTGAAAGTCGTTAGAGGATGGTAAGAGTGGCCCTTGGGCTTCCTGATGTACAGCTTGTGTGTTTTACCTTCTTAAGCACCTTTTTGGTTTTTAGTAGTTATTTATCATTATGTCTTTATCAACGTACAATGCAGAAAATAGTATGTATAGTAAGATAAAGAATTTGTATTTAAGAAATATGGTTAAACATGTTTCTGATTATAAGAGTGATTCATGTTTATTAAAGAAAATTTAGAAAAGTGCAGTAGAACACATATCCCACACAACATTGCTTTGGGTTAATTGTACATCAGAGCCCATAATATACTTCTAGCTGATGAGTTTTAAATGAGGTTGTGAGGAATTGCAAGATCAGTTGGCTGTGGTGGTACACATCTGTAATCTCAGGAAACTTGGAGGCTGAGACAAGAGGTTCACAAGTTTGAGACCAGTCTGGGCAACTTATCCAAACCCTATCTCAAAATCAAATAAAAAGGTCTGGGAGCATGGCTCAGTGGCAGAGTGTCCCTGAATTCAATCTCCAGGCCCTCCCTCCAACCCAAAATGTACACACTAGTCATATTGTTGGGCCACATGTGTCTTTTAAGAAATACATGACAGTTCAGTACATTTAACTAAAGTTTAATTTATAATTTTTGACAAAAATAATTTTTGATTAAATAAAGAGACTGGTGAGAATATAAACATTTTGACAGTTTCTAAAATTGTTTTACCATTTTAATTGCCTCTTGCAAATGCACAGGAAGTTGAATAGAAAGCAACTGAAAAAAAATCACTGATCTGGCATACTTATCTCTGGTACCTATTTATAAACTTGTTTGAAATAAAGAGGGTAGAGCTCTAATTTATGGTTTAAAAATTAGTAAGCTTTTCTTTTGGCCTCTGTTTGATTAAATGTATAACACCTTTCCTGTTAGGATTTTAGATACTTTAACATGTTTCTCTATGTATTTAACAAATACATTAGAATGAAATAAATTTTCTTTCATTCTTAAATTTGAAGACTGAAAATTGTAGTAAAACAAATTTTGCATAAGTTTTGTTTTTAATCAAACAGTGCTTTTTTTCTTTCTTTTGCAGATTTCGTTGGCCTCTTTCTTTTTTGGGGGGGTGTGGGTGTTACAGGGACACTCAACCACTGAGCCACATCCCCAGCCCGATTTTGTGTTTTATTTAGAGACAGGGTCTCACTGAGTTGCTTAGTGCCTTGCTTTGCTGAGGCTGGCTTTGAACTCCCAATCTTCCTGCCTTAGCCTTCCAAACTGCTGGGATTATAGGCGTGTGCCGCTGTGCCCAGCTTGCTGGCTCATTTCTTTTCTTGAAAGTATAAACACTTAAGAGCAGCAGTGTCATATATCCACATGTAGTTTTTCGTAGCATTTAACTGTTATTGGGAAGAATAGTTATAAGATGCTTTTCCCATTAGTATGCATGTGCATGTATTAATATTCATTGATTTGACCCCAATATATGTTAAAATTCCTTTAAGAGACATGATTTTTACACATCTAAGGAAAAAACCCAACCACAGTTAACATCCACTTGTCTGACATATCATTTGCAAATTTCCACTAACTGGTGATTCCATAGAATATTGATAGTTCTGTAATGTTTATAGTGATAACCCACAATTTCTCTAAGATCCTGATACTGTTCTTGAATCATCAAAGGCTTCATTATACCAAGTAAAGTTTGTTTTAGGGAAAGTATGTGCCATTATAGTTGCTAGAGAATTGATCACTGATATAATAATAATAATTATTATAATGATAATAACAATGATTATATATATATATATATATATATATATATATATATATATACCAGAATAGTTTAGATTTAAAGCCTCTCTCACCAAGACTAGCTAATGGTTTTGCTGTGTTTTATTCTTAGTTGGATTTTGTATGAGAAACCAAATTTTGAAGGACATTCCATCCCCTTAGAAGAAGGTGAACTGGAACTTTCTGGTCTCTGGGGTATAGAAGATATTTTGGAAAGAAATGAGGAGGCAGAGTCTGATAAACCTGTAGTGATTGGTTCAATCCGACATGTGGTCCAGGTAGGTTATGGTAAATCTGAATTTCATTCATTCAGCAAATATTTATTGAATAAATGTTTCTTGATTCTTACTTTGAGGAAGTATTCATTTTATTAAATAAGTGATTGGGGAAAATTTGGTACTTTATAAATGTTCTATAATTTAAGTATTATACATTTCAAATGAGTTAGAAAGACTTTTCAGTTGGTTATATTTTTTTTTCATAATAAACAAAGACAAATTTGTCTTAAGACTAATCTTCCACCCCTGAACCCTAGTTCCAATCTCCCAAATGGACTTTTTGTAGTAACCTAGTTGTAATAAGTTCTATGTGAACATATTTTTTTCTCTTTACTTAGTCTTTTTGGCTACTGCATGATTTCTGATTACCTTGAGTAGTTTACAGATACTGTATTTTGGAAACATAATCTAAACATAATTCAGTTGATAGTTCAACTCTGGGGTTTTATGTGGATTTAAAAACTGTTATTTGAGATATTTGAAGTCACTTTATGGATTGCATAAAATTTCTGATTTCTCATTTGTTGATGAGCAAGGTATAATCAACATCATTCTTTTTGGCTCATGGAATTTTAAAAAATGTGATTCATGGATCTTCCAAGAGGAAAATTAAAATTCCAAGTTTGTATGATAGATATGGGTGTCATGAAGTGCAATAAAAGGCTTCAAAATTGGAACAATCAACAATTTTTGGCAGAGGAAAGCTTTTCATGTTGCTATGTGATTTGAGGTTTAGCTTAGTGTTATATCTCATTGAAATGATATCTTTCAGTGGATCTTAAAGTTGTTTCTGGGTTTTCTTTTTTTTTTCTTTTTTACTGCTTTAAATAATGATGTGTGAACCTTTTTTGTTTAATAGTTTCTAATTTTCTGATTTAGTCTCTTGGGTTAAATCATTCTGAATTATACCATGTTGGAAGGCAGGAACACATTTTTTAAAAGAGATTGTGTGCATGGTTTCTTGAAACATGAAACACATATCATATATTCAAGTGAGTTACCATTTTAGTTCATTAATTCTTCATTTTGATAATGTTTAAAAGAGCCTCACCTGAACTGACCCCAAAAAAAATTGAAGTGGAGAACATAGGGCTGGGATGTAGTTCAGGCAGCCAAAGCATGCATGAGCTTTCTTTCTTCTGTATTATAGTTCACACAGCTCAGCAGCATAGAAGAGATTTGATAAATATTTGATTAGCACACTCTGCCAGGAGAGGCCCTTTGAAGAGTATCTGATGGACCCTGGATATGCAGGGCATGGAACAATGACCTAAGTGTGGAGATTCAAAAATCACCATGAACGTGGGTTTTGGCTTTACATTTTGGACCAAACCAACATATAGTGGTCTAGTCACAGTCATGAAAAGTTACCCCAGTGGTTTTGTGGTCACAAAACAATAGTTGAGGAAGAGAAGGGCAACCATTCTATAGACCAAGATCTCTGGACTTGCAGAATTGCCTCTAAGCAAAGTAGCCAGAACTCCTGTGACTAAGGAAAGCCAAGAGAGGATGTGAGAATGATGTTCCAGTATGCTAAAAAAAATGCATTTCTGAATTTTTTGAATGTAATGTTAAGATATATGACTAAAGTAGCGTGTCTACCCTGAAAGAGGCATATTATGAAGTCGTGGGTACAAATAGGATAGGGATAAAATGGCAGGCACCCCATGAAACGTAAGTGTACATTTAAACTTGTTTTAATTGGTTGCAAAAAAAAAAAAAAAGAGAGAGAGTGAAAGAGAGAGAGAGAATAACAAGCATACTGTAGAGTTAAATACATGGTGTAATTGTTGTGTGTATATATATATATATATATTTTTTTTTTTTTTCAGGATTACAGAATTAGTCAAATTGACTTATTTACTGAACCAGAGGGGTTAGGACTCCTGAATTCCTACTTTGATGACACTGAAGAAATGCAGGGATTTGGTGTCATGCAGAAGACATGTTCCATTAAAGTGCATTGGGGCACGTAAGTGTTATATTTCAAATATAGTTTTAATGAATCTTTTTTATGCATGTATTACCAGAGATAATACTAGCGATATTTGGTTTCTGATTTGTTTTCTTGCTAAGTAATTATTGACTGAATGGTATTTTTAATACAATACACGAAGTCCTGATTGTTTTGCACCTGTGTTACTATGATTCACGTCTCTTATAAACAATAACAATTTATTAGAGGAAGTGTGAAGGAAAATGGATTTTTAACGTAGGCCTTTTTCCTTCATGTCAGAGGAATCTGATGCATTCAAAGCTGAGTAGCAGATATACCTTCGTTGTAATTCAAAGGAGGTGACCTGAAGCATGTACCCCCAATAGTTCAGGCGGGATGGAAGCCAAAATGTGGGCACTTCCTTTCATATTTTCACACAATGCTATCAAAAGCCTCTAGGATGTTGTCACAAATCACAGGAAACTGCAAGAATATTTTGAAGGAAATGGGAATATCTCAGATAGGGGAGAAATTAGGATAAAAAGTGCAGACTGCAGCGGTAAAGAATGTGGTCTCTAAAGTAGAGGATAGTGGGAAGGGAGAATAGAAAGAAGTTCAGTAGATTAGACAGAGGGGAATGAAGGGAAGGGAGGAGGGATGGGAATAGGAAAGACAGTGAAATGAATTGGAAATAACTTTCCTATATTCTTATATGAACCAGTGAATCTCCACATCATATACAACCACAAGAATGGGATCCTAACTAGAATAAGTTATACTGCATGTATAAATAATATGCCAAAATTCACTCTAGTGGCATGTATATCTAAAAAGAACATTTAAAAAAAAAGAGAAAAAAAATTCAAGTGGAGAACATAGGGCTGGGGGTGTAGCTCAGGCAGCAGAGCATGCATGAGACTCTAGGTTCAATCCCTAGTACCACAAAAATGAGCTAAAGAATTCACATAAAGTGGAGTGCAGAGCCCAAAGCATGTGAAAGGCATCCACTGAATGTAGGGAGAAAAAGCCACCAAAACTGCTTTATATTATATTTAACATCTCCTTTTAAGATTTTATTTTTGTTGTGTGCATGTACTAATATGTAACAAAAGATCCCACCATTATTTACAACTATAATACACCAATAAAAAAATGTGGAGAAAGAAAAAAAGGATTTTATTTTTGTTTATGTATTCTAATATGCATAATATATTATTTCAGTGTTGATGCATATTATTTAGAAGTATTTACATATTCAGCAAATGTGCATAAGTATTTATTAATATGATATGTAGTCTCTCCTGTAAAGTGATGTAGAATATCTGTACAGTGAATGGTAAGGCAGTCCTTCATCATGGTGTTTGCATCCTGTTGAGTACTAAAAGTCTTCTTTTACTGTTGTTCTTATCTTGGAATAATGATTTGATTTTGCAGAAAGTACGAACTGGGTAAACTAGAGATTATAGAGTCTGAATTTTGTTTCTCAGAAATCAGAAACTAAAAAACTTCTAGGTAACTTAATAGGGAGTATGACTTCCAATCGGATGTCCCTTCTGTCATGGAGCTATCCATTCAGTAGGACCAGACAAACACAAATAAGTGTGTAATGTGTCAGATGGTGAGGGCTACAGGAAACATTACAGAGAAGGGCAGGTGCAATGCCATTTTAGATAAGGTAGTGAAGAAAGATCTCTGGTGACATTTAAGCAGGGACTTGAAGGAAGTGAGAAAGTCTGCATGGGGTCAGCTGAAGGAGAAGGGACAGGGGATGCCCTAAGCAGAAAGCACAGTCTTTTTGTGGGGGGGGCCCTTCAGGGCAAGCTAAGAGGCCTAGGTGCTGAGCTAGGAGGAGGGTGAGGAAAAAGGCCTCCTGTCCTGGCAAGCCGTTGGGCCTTAGGGAAGGAATTGACATTTACTCAAAGTGGCGCCAGTGATGCTTGGAGAATTTTGATGGACTTTGTATTTTAGAATGATTACTCTGATTGCTGAGTACAAATAGACTGTAAAGGCGGAGTAGAAAGAAACTCATAAACAAGAAATTGTAATCATACAGACAAGAGGTGATGTGGCTTAGATAATGTGATTTGCAGGAAATGGGCAGATTTTGGTGCATTTTAAAGGTAAAACTGACAGCATTTGCTGTGTGCACACACATACGCACACACATGCACTACACACCATATACACACAGCCACATACCATGTAGACATATACACATGCATCCCCCACACACTTATTTTTGGCATGTTTCAAATAAAAACAGAGAACTTTAGAACTTCATAGGGTATATAGCATCTGGTCTAATGCCATCATTTAAGCAAGGAAGATAGGCTTTGGTCTCCTTCTCTAGGATAGGGTTAGTTGTTAGCTGAACATGTTCTAGAAAACAGATATTATGAAGTGAAGGAGACGTTTTTCCCTGGGTAGTCTTTGATTATTTTTACTATGAAATACTTGATATAAACAGAAAACATATATATATATATATATATATATATATATATATATATGTGTGTGTGTGTGTGTGTGTGTGTGTGTGTATAGATGGAGCCCAATAATGGGCCTACTAGCCAACTCATAACTTAGACCATTATCAGCACTGTGGCAGAAAATTGTCACCCACCCTGGTCCTAGTCCCTGATTCTTACACCTAACCTCTCTCCTAAGATTACCCTTGTTGACGAGTATGTCAATTTGTTCTTTTTCATTACTGTGCAGTAATCATTCATTGTGGAGTATACCATATTGAAGCTCAGTTTTTCTGTTTTGGTAATACTAAGGATGGAACCCATGGCCTTAGTGGCAAGCACTTTACCACTAAGCTACACCCCTAGCCCTCAGAGCCCAATGGGTTTTTTTGTTTGTTTTTTTACAAAGGCTTTCAAACATACATAAAAGTAGAAAGAATAGTTCAATAAACACCCACATATCACCCCCAGATTCAATGATGGGTAATATTTTGCCATATTTTTTTATTATTATTATTAGTTGTTCAAAACATTACATAGCTCTTGATATATCATATTTCATACATTTGATTCAAGTGGGTTATGAACTTCCATTTTTACCCCATATACAGATTGCAGAATCACATCAGTTACACATCCACGTTTTTACATAGTGCCATACTAGTGACTGTTGTATTCTGCTGCCTTTCCTATCCTCTACTATCCCCCCTCCCCTCCCCTCCCCTCCTATCTTCTCTCTCTACCCCATCTACTATAATTCATTTCTCTCCCTTGTTTTTTTTCCCTTTCCCCTCACTTCCTCTTATATGTAATTTTGTATAACCATGAGGGTCTCCTTCCATTTCCATGCAATTTCCCTTCTCTCTCCCTTTTCCTCCCATATCTCGTTCCTGTTTAATGTTAATCTTCTTCTCATTATTTTGCCATATTCATGTTATCTTTTTCTGAGCCCTTGACAGTGAGTTGCAGCTATCATGTCCCTGCACTGTATTGGCTTCAGCCTGAATGTCTTTGTAATCACATTCTCCTGCCTAGCTATCTGTGTCATACCTAAGAAAATTAGCACCGTGTCTGTGACAATATGTAGTCTGTGCCCATAAACACATTTTCCCAATTGGCTCAGGAATATCTTTTAGGAGTTGTCTTATTTTTGTAAAGTCAGGATTCATGCCTGGGGTTGTAGCTCAGTGGTAGAGCACTTGCCTAGCATGGGTGAGGCACTATGTTTGATCCTCAGCACCATATAAAAGTAAGTAAATAAAAATAAGGGCTAAATTCTTTTTTAAAAATCAGGATTCTGTCAAAGTTCATGTTAATATGTTTGACTGTCCTGTCTCTATAAGTCTCTTTTAATCTCTGTTTCCCTTGCCACTGACTTTTTAAAGAACTTAGGCTGGCTGTATTAGAGAACATGCGTTTTTTTCCTTTGAGATTCATAGCCCATCTTCTTTTGAATAATCTGAAGCTTGGCACATTCATATTTAATCTTTCAAGTATCCAGTTGGTTTCTATAAATGGCCATCACTTATGTTCAACCATGTCTTAAGGATCCAGCTATAAATGCTGTAAGTTCAACTTTGCCTGCTAGGTGGTATTTTCAAGTTACTTGTTTAAGAACAAGTGGGTAAGACAGGACTGAATTTTTTCTTAGGTGACTCAAAGGGTATTTCTAAAAGAGTAATTCCATAGATATTTTTCATATGCATATGCATTACTATTGTTATTACTTCATCAATATCCATATGTATTTGTCATTAATATATTTGCATACATTTATGTTTGTTAAAAAAGAGGCTCATGCTTTATAGTTGCACAGTTTAAGCAGAACTATAAAGTGGTATTTCTTTCTCTATAAGGTATTTCTTTCTGTATATTGGCAAAAGCTCATTACCTAAGTGCACAGGAAAAGAGAAAGAGTACCTTTAGAAACTGAAATAACATTGCCTGAAGATAATTTCCCCCTTTCCTGATAACCTCATGAATTCTGTATCATGTTGGCACAGAATGAGTCATACTGTGTTGTAAACGTCTGTTTGAGTTATCCAGCAGGCTCCCTTGCCAAAGAAGTGCCCTTAGAATGTGGCCTTTTCAAATATAACAGTTTGTATCTTTTTTTTTTCTTTAGCAATTTCCCCTCTACCCCAAATTGCCTTCCTTCTATAAATGTTATATGACTTACCCACATGCTTCCAGGAAGATGAAATTTTAGTTTCAAACGAATAAATTCCTTTAGAACTTAAAAATACTATAAGGAAAGACCTAGTAAAAAAGATGCTTGGGTAAATATCATTTCAGAATTTCAGAATGATTCATGAGCCATATATCCTGTTTATGAAGAATTAAGCCCATTCACTTGTGAAGGAGTTGAACTCTGAAGGCTTTGTCTTATTAGCATAATAACAGAATTTATTGCCCAACTCCTATTAGTTAAGGTACAGAATCCACGTGTAGCTTTGAACTCCAAAAATACTTAATGCATCCTTAACTGTCATGCTTTAAACATAAGAAAGTTGAAAGTATCCCCTTCTTAGCCTCTGTTTGCATGTGGTTTGGTGGCATTACAGTGGTATTCAAAAGACAGGCCTCTTTTTTCCTTCAGTTAATTTATTCTCAAGTATAACATTTGTACAAAAAGATACACACAAGTGAATAAGCTAAGTGAATTTTCAGAAAGTGAATACATAAGTATAACTATCACCAGATCAAGAAGTAGAACATTCTAGCATGTCAGAAGCTCCCCCATTCATGCCCCCTCCCAGCCCTGCTCACCTCCACATCTGCTCTTTTCCTGACTTCTAACACTGTAGATTAGCTTTGATCCCCACTAGTAAACCACCCCTGGCCTCCCAACATTCCTTGGTGCGTGTTGACAGGTCTTGGGTCGGATTCTAGTTGTAAATCCCTGTGTAATTAGTGAGTCTAAAAGAAGTTACTGATTTACCCAAGGGAATCTTTAACAGAAACCATTACTAAAAATCATGCCTTAGGCCCAACTGCAAAGAAGAAAAAAGCTAAGAGTCCCAATTTGCTGGTAGAAGATTTCATTTAGGATCATATCCTGCTCTTGATGGTGTCTTGGGGCGGGGGGGGGGGGCACGTATAACTTGGTGGAGAACCACAGCCAGGCATTTTAACCACACTAACAGATTGGAGAGTTTATGTGATCTCCAAGAAGTCTTGGCTCGCGAAGGGATACCTTATCACCTTCCATCTGAAAGTCACTTCTCCAGCAGCCTCACCTTCCCAGAACCTTGCCTGGAATGAGCAAATTTACCAGACCTTGAAATCTTTAGAGGCCGTTCTAACAGGCGTGATTTTATGGTTTCCTGCTTTTAGCACAGGAGAGGAGGGTGGGGCCGCTGGCTCCCTGACTGAAGCAGAAGTGACAGCTGACCAGCTTGGTAGAAGGGTGTGGTATTGCACAGTCATTAAAATCAGAACCAAAACCTCAAAAAGCTTTGCAGCCTGGGAACAAGCAGCCCTGCAGACCTTCAGAGCCTCCGGGGACATCACTGTGCATTAAGTATGCTCATGGTGATGATCCTGAGTAACTATGAAAAGAGTAAATGAATGCTTGGTGCACTCTCTGCGATGAGAAAAAACACCATAAAAAAATGATGGGGAGCCTGGTTCTGGAGTCAGCTTTGATCATCCCTGTGTGGCCTGGGGTGATTTACTTAACCTCATCTGTAAAATGGGGACAAAAATATTCCTTCCTGGTAGCATTCTTGTGAGGATTAGATGAAATTCTGGGCAGCACTCCTTGTGAGCTTGAAGAGGATGTTAGCTGTTATTAATTTTGACAGCATGAAAAATGATTAGGTGGCACTCCTCAGTCTTAGGTTACAAATGAGGTGTTTCCTTTTAAAACAGGCCTTGAGATTTCCCAAGAGGGCCTCTCCAAATACAGTGCAAAAAGAGAACTCCTTTTATTACTTGGCAGTAATAGAAAGGTTTACAGTTAGAAGCAATTAATCATATGAATTAAAAATGAGTAGGCAGAGCCAACCAAGGAGAGATGTAGGAGGTCAGGAAGGGGAGCCCAGCTTGCTCCTCCTGACACTAACAGCTATGTGCAACCGTCGTCATAGGGGGCCACATCCTCTGTTCCTTTCCCCTCTTGTCACAGGAGCCCTTTTTACCAGAGAGGAAACACTGAAATAAACGATAAGTTGTCTTTCTTTCCTTCCCTGGTGTTTATTTAGATGGCTGATTTATGAAGAACCTGGATTTCAAGGTGTCCCTTTCGTCTTGGAACCAGGCGAATACCCTGACTTATCCTTCTGGGATACAGAGGAAGCCTACATTGGATCCATGCGGCCTCTGAAAATGGTAAAAATCAAATGTGGTGTTCTTGAAGGCGGTGACTCTGTCAGCTTGACATTGATAATTCACAGGATGTGATATTGAAGCAACAAACGGGCTTTACATATGTATGTATGTGAGAGTTGAGTCCCGGGAAATACAGATTTTTCTTAATGAGAAATTTTGTCAGTTAAATAAAAACACACATACACACACACTTAGTTGTAGATGGATACAATAACTTAATTTTATTTATTTATTTTTATGTGGTGCTGAGGATCAAACCCAGTGCTTCATCTGTGCGAGGCCCATTGCTGGATAGAAATAATAGAAATGATGACTTCCTAGGTGCTACAGGTTAAAAAGTCGATAAGACTAGGTCTTTTGCCTTCAAAGCAGCCTCAGCCTTGCAGAGCTGCAGATGTGTGCTCAAAGTATCAGCCTAGTGTAGAAAGTGAAGGATTAAACATGCATGGAAAAATAGGAGGAATGATAAATAAAATTCCAACTTGTGGCTGATGTGACAGAGGAGGGGGATGATTAGGGAAGCTTTGTGATAGATCAGGTTGAGTCTTAAACCATGAGCAGTATTATTGTAGATAGAGGTGCCAGAGAATGCACTGTGTGCGCCAGGGTGCAGAGTTCTGAAAGGGCAGGACACCGAGGACAAGCCAGTTGGGACAGGAGACTCAGCTGAGTGGCACTTGGGCAGGGAGGGCCTGGAGCTGGATGTCCTCCTAAAGATTTGCCTTAGCCTTGTATTTCCTCTACCTTATCCTTATATTTTGCATTGGTCTTTGTCTCTTCTGCTTGGGAGGGACTATAGGTTTGGCTGCAACTCTCTTGTCCCCTCATGGGACACAGTGTGTGCCGTGTTGTAGTAGGTGCTCACTAAACACTTATGGTGGGACTCAAATTTGCGAACCTCCTGCCTCAGCTTCCCAAGTTGTTGGGGTTATATATAAGTGTGTGCCACCATGCCTGGCTGGGATTTTTTATATTTAATCTAATAGTTTATTTTATAACTCTTAACAGTTTTGTAGGTGGTGGGTTGCAAAACCAAATGCCTCCAATGGCCAGGCAAGAAATAAAAATGAGGCTGGCTGGGAGTTCAACCACAGGGAGTGGTGGGGATAGCAAACCCCAGCCTGTGTCCTGCTGAAGGCTGAACTTCATGCAGGATCAAAGAGTGCAGAAGGTGAAGGTTGTTGCTTGTGAGAGTTTAGGTCCCGAGATGACAGATCTTAGGACTGTTTTTTAAGAGAAATGAGAAATATAGATTTTTCTTAATGAGAAATCTTGTTAGTTAAATAAAAACAAAAACACACTCTATGTGCACCTTGAACATACAGACCACTGTGTGAGTCTGTTCTAGGTGGACTTCCTGTATCCTCATTGCTTTGTTGGTAATTTTAGCACTAGTTCACATACATTAAAACAAAGTGGAATGTAATCACACCATGAGATTCACCTTCTATGGATAATATAAAATGGTAAGGAATCAATGAAAAACCATTTTTCTCTGTTGTTTTTCTTTTCAGGGTGGTCGTAAAGTTGAATTCCCAACAGATCCGAAGGTAAGTGTGTATGAGCGTGCGTGCATGTGTTATTCCACTCCACCTCCATGAAGATAATGCTTGTGTGACTTCACATATAAAGCTTCACCACACATAGTTGCCCCCAAAGGAAGATCCCAACTTACATGTGCCACCCTCCAGGCTGGAAAAATACTGCTAATGGCACAATTATCATTAACTGTATGTGGAGCCCTGGTTCAAAAGGTTGATTGTTGCATTCAGTGTATAATTTTTGGTTGTATTTACTAATTGCAGGGCCTGTTGCTGCTTGCCAGTTAGCCAAGAAGAAACTTTTTCAAGACAAGTTCTCCCTACTCCCAAATGCTGTTATTCCCATTTCCCACATCTATGCCACATACTTTGATGGTATAGATTTAAAAAAATTTTAAAGCAACTTTAGGATTCTGATATCTAAGCAAAAAGCAAAGTTTGTCCTAAGTAAATTAGTAAACTATAACAGTCTGACCTAAGCAAAGTTCTACATATTGGTTCTCAACATTGAATAAAATCCAGTGATTTAAAAACTGTCTCTGGGTCTGGGCTATTTCACATCAGGACAGTGGGTGGAGGTGGGGAGACCTATTGCTTTTTCTTTTTTTTAAACTATATTATCACTGGTCTATCTTATTTCTGTTGTAGGTTATTATTTATGAAAAGCCTTTCTTTGAAGGAAGATGTTTGGAACTAGAAACAGACCTGTGTAGCATTGTCACTGATGAGACAGAAGTGACTGGAGATGATAACTTGCCCCTTACATCAGTGGGGTCCATGAAAGTTCTAAGAGGCATGTAAGTAGACAGGCATAACTGGAAGGATTTCTTTTTCCTTTAAACAAGCAGTAAATGTGTCCTCCTCCCTGCCAAAGGTGTTATTTCCAATTCTGTGGCATGATGAATTTCAACAGCTTTACCCACGCCTGTGTCTCACCCATTGTGACCCACACTTGGGAATTGACCATCCAGACTAATTAAATTTGCAGTCTTATTTATTAGAATTATGCTCCAAATTATACTGAACTGTTATAGTTTGCTTTCTAATTTGTGTGATCTTTTGTAATTTTAGATCTTACCCATTTATTATAGATGTATATCCTGGAAATAGTCTTAAAAATAGACCAAAACTCAAAATATTTGAATTATTACTTTAGGAAAGTCTATCCAGTTTACTTGCTGGGGTTCATTTGAGTCAGCTGAAATAATCTCAAATACCCTTATACCCTTTTAGTCCTCTGAGGAGCTTGTGTCTTAGGTTGTGTTCTTCAACATAGTCTCCTAAATTTTAGAGAATTCCAGTAGTGAGCGCGTTAGTAAAGTAATCTAGCTTTAAAACTATAGGTATTTGTCAGTTAAACAGATGTGTGCACAAGGACAGTTTTAAATGTCTGAAAAATCACTGCTCCATGCCTGTTCTTTCAATTGCAGTTGGGTTGCCTATGAGAAGCCTGGATTTGTGGGTCATCAGTATTTGCTAGAAGAAGGAGAATACAAGGATTGGAAAGACTGGGGAGGTTATAATGGAGAGCTTCAGTCCTTACGACCTATATTAGGGGTAAGTTGAAGGAAAGCTAATGGCTTGTTCTTAGTTGTTTTTTTAAAAATAATAAATGGCTACCCTTTAAATTTTGAATATATTTTTTTCAACAGGATTTTTCAAATGCTCACATGATAATGTACAGTGACAAAAACTTTGGATCCAAAGGTTCCAGTATCGATGTATTAGGAATTGTTGCTAATTTAAAGGAGACTGGATATGGAGTGAAGACACAGTCTATTAATGTACTGAGTGGAGTGTAAGTGAACTAATCCATTTGGGATCTTAAACATGGATTCTGCCTTGGTTTATGTTAAACTAATAAGTCTGTGACACAGAATAGGCTACTCAGTAAATATATTAACAGCTCACCCTTCACTCAGGCACTTAATATTTACTGCCATGCCTTTTCATAACTGACTTAAAGTATTTCTCATAGCTAAGCATCATGGTGCACACTGGTAACCCCAGCCACTTGGGAGGCTAAGGCAGGAGGATTACAAATTGCCCCCAAAGGACCAGCCATGACAGCTTAGCATGATCCTCTCTCAGAATGAAAAGGGGTGGGCATGTACCTGAGTGGTAGAGCGTCCATGGGTTCAGTCCCCAGTACTGCAAAATAAGCAAACAACAACAACGACAACAAAAACTTGTTATAACATGTAATAAAATGTTGGAGTAAGCTTCAGGGTATCTTCATTTAAATATCATTAATTTCTTAAGATGAGAATCAAATAATTAGTAATCCATTGAAAACCCAAGGATGGAACAAAGTCGAATGTTTTCCCATGTTCCTACACCTACTCCCAAAGGTTTCTTCATTATTATTTGGTTATAAAAATAATTGTTTCAATCTACCTGGAGTTATCAATTCAATGCTTTATTAATGGTAAATCAAGTTTTTATTGAACGATGACCAGTCAAGAGGCCAGTGACAGTGAGCCAAACTTAGCTGGCTCAAGTGATAAAAATAGAACTCTTTGGCTTAGCAAACTGAAAAGTCCTAGAGAAGATTTTGCTTCAGGCATGGCTGGATGTAGGGGATCAAACACTGTCATCAGAATTTGGTCTCTGTCTCTTGCCTAAACTTTTTTCTATGCTGGCTCTGTTTCTAGGCAAATCCATTTCACCTGGCATTCTTTGGTCATATCTGGCTTTTGTTTTCCCAATTCATTGATCACAGTGGAAAGGTTTTCTCTTTCCCTCACAAGTTCCAGGTTTGACTCTGATTCCCCAAGCGTGGATCACATGCACACAATGGCCATGCCTGTGTGATGTGCAGATTCCTAGAGCTGAGGTGTAGGTGGCTCCTTCATCCTGCAGGAGCCACTTAGGAAATTATTGGAACATAAGATGTGAGGATAGATGCTAGATGTGCATAAACAGCAGATGTGATTGTAGGGAGTTGTAGAATTCTTTTTTTCCAGTGTTTGGGATAAACCCAGGGCATTGAGCATGTTAGACAAGCTTTCTACCACTGAACCATAGCCCTAGCCCCCCCTAATTATTCCTATGATCCAGGCTGATGTCTGTTCTAATTTGTTATAAATGGTTATATGAAATAATTTAACACCATTGTTATTGAAAGTGTTTGATGTTAGGGTTTTTGTTTTTTAGTTTTCGTGGTACTGGGGATTGTATTCAAGGACTCCTGCCAGTGACTGTGAGCCAGGAAATGCTAGGGAAATGTTCTACCACTGAGCTGCATTGCCAGCCCTTTTTAAAATTTTTAAATTTTAAGGCCAGGGTTTGTTCAGTTGCCCATGCTGGCCTTGAACTTATTATCCTCCTACCTCAGCCTCTGGAGCAGTTGCGATTGCAGGCATGTGCCATTGCACCCCAGCTGATGTTAAGTTTTTGGTGTCATGAGTGACATAACCTATTTGCATCAGTCTAGCCTCAAACCTGTTGTATTTCATGGGGCCTCCCACAGTAGCCCTGCATATTTGAGATGTTCCTAATATACAGTACTTTTTACTATTAGAAATGCTCACTAGATTCTTGTGTAGGTTCCTGCTTGTGTTGCCATCCTTGCAGGATAACATCAGCTACTTCTGGATCTTAGCAGTCTTAGCAGAAAATGTGTCCTATTCTGGAGCCCTTGTATTTTAGAATCATAGTTGACCATCTACGAAAGATGTCATCTGAAATGTATAGCAGAAATCCTTTGAATTGGTGCTGTGACTCTGTAGTATTTTAGATTGCCTTTACAGCTAGAAATAGAGTGACCAATTCAGTCTGGCAAAACAGTTGTGTATTTTGATACTCATCTGGTGTGTTGATTAGTCACAAGTCAGTCATTCAACCTAGCAAAGGAGGTCAAAGGATGCTGGATAGCATTCTCTTTTATGTAGATTATGCATTTATGTAGATTATGCTATTAGCACAGGTAGAATTATTATGCCCTGAGCCATTTTCCTTTCCTTTTTACCCTGCCCCTGTTTACTTGAATTGGTTTCCTTTATAAAATGTGGTTTTTATATGTTTCTATTATTAGTCATTTCTAGTTGTATTTCCTGGCTTGGGCTTTTTTTCTCATTGCAGCCGTTGAGTTTTGGTGTGGGGGAAGCTGAAGAGAGGTACACACGCACACCACTTCCTTTTAATTCTTTGGATGAAGCAGGGCTTCTATACTTACCAGGACCAGCTGCCTCCTCATTATTTCATGCACCTTTGTCACTTGACAAATATTTATTAAGGTCTACTGTGTGCAAAAGCATTATATTATATCCTTACAAATGTTACAGTATTTATATAAAATATAATTATTGCTACAAAAGAGATGGAGATTAAATGCTTTGCACAGCAGAGAGAGATTAATTTCTGGCCCCGAGGAGTTTGGACTGGAGTTAGGCCTTGCAGGGTGGGAAGGTAAGATATGCTAAGATGAGGAAGACTATTCAGTCTTACTAGTTTCAAAGGAAATTAGTTTTAATTTTAATAGCTTTATTTTTATTGGTTAATAAGCATTTTAGTTGGATCTTTATTTCTTTAGTTTGTTCTTTATTTCTATTAGTTATAGGAAAAAAAATAAAATTTTTTGAAATTCTTGTTCTGTGAAAGTATCTCCCAGGAAACTCACAGGTAATAAATTCCCTGGGGAGCAAACTTGTGATTAGCTCTGAAACAGTCTTCAGGAAGCATGCTTCTGAGACCAGAGTTGAGGTTTTGAGGAACTACATTCCATTTCTTATTGGAAAATCAGAAGAAACTCCTTTACACAACTCTTGCTTATCAATTTCTAGGTCTGAGCTATACTCTTCCTCAAATAATGGAAACTGGGCTAATTTTTTTAAAAAAAAATAAAGAGCAGAATGAAATTTTCTGGAGCACAGATAAAAATAACTGGGCCGTTGTCTTAAATTCATTTTCCTTTGGCCTACCACAGAAGGACAGGTTTGGTAATTCTGGGCCATTACACTGCCAGGCCAGGACCTGCTAGCACTTGTACATGCCTCTCTCCCGCCCCTTGCCAGCCTTTAAACAGAGCATCCTGATTCACATGTACAGAAAACGTTTGAATAGGGCCAGTATGGCATACAATCTAAAATAAAACAGAAACTCGGCTACATTCGTTACAATTAGTATAATAATACTTATATATCTTTTTTTTTTTCCTTTGTGGTGGTGCTGGGGATTGAACCCAGGGCTTCATACATGCAGGCAAACATTCCTTTACCACTGAGTCACATCCCCAGCCTGAATATGGGGTTTTCTTGAGTCCCAAGTATTAGTAGATGCTCACCTCAGTTGGTGTATTTGGGTTTCTTCTCCCTCCTCCAGGACCCCCTCCATAACCCACAATTCATGGAATCCAGTTGGGGCTGCATCTCGGAGAACAGCAGCAGTCTGAATTCATGTAGCATCTTCATAAGTTGTTTTCCTGTCTCAACTTTGGTGAATTAGATGGGCTTACCTGGGTGTTGTGTGTTTACTTGCATGTAGTTTGTTTTAGTTTTATGGGGAACTGGAGTACCCATATTTGTTAGTTCAAGAATAAAGGGAAAAAAATTTCAAAAAGAAGGATTGAGAAGCTTCTCCCAGACTGACTTAGTGGCTGTCCACTCACCTCGGGAGCATTCTCTCTCATCTCTTGCTCTTTACTGGCTTTTTTTTTTCTCTATATACATTGAAGTGGGATTAAAAGCCCTTTAGCCTTTTGTTCTCTAACTTGTTACAAGGCCCTACTGGGAACACCTTTTTTGAGATATGACTTTTTAACTTAATTTTTCCTTTTTAAAAGTCCTGTTTTTTTTTGTTTTTTTAAAATCTCCTTGCTAAGCAGACACCCCCCTCCCTCAACACACACATCATACAGTGCCCTGCTACTGTCACTGTCACTGCTCAGCATGTGGTTAGCCACAGGCTGCATGTGCAGAGGCAGTACTACAGGTACCCATGTGCCTGTGACCTCACCAGGTCAGTTCCGGGATCTCAGCCAACTCCCTTACCTATAAAGAAAAACACAAACTTTCACAAAGATTAAAGGGCCTCTTCAAAGTCACCTGAAAGTTAATGTCTTGACCACAGCTGGAACAAGGTCTTCTAGTTACTCATCATGACAAAGAGTAGGTTTTTAAAACTGCTAAGGAAGCTCAGAAATGGGGTGTCCATATTTTCTGAAAGAGACTAGGATTGGTGTTTAAGCAGTTCCTGTCAGATGGCCAGAGGTGAGCGTTCAAATGTAAACTGTTGGAGCTACTTAACTACCAGTTGAGATTTCTGCAGCGTTCTTTTCTCCTTGGTGGCTGTTCATTTCCTGGTGATGTCTGTGCTCATGTTTTTGTTTAAATTGGCTCTTAGTAAAATCTGAATCTGATTTATGCATGAACTACACAGACTGTTTTAGGAATGCTTTAATAGAATAGTAAATGGAAGGAAACCTCACAAGACACATGACAGGTGGGTGGCAAAGCAAAGAGAGCCCAGTAAGCCTCAGGAGATGTAGGTTTGGTCATGCTCTGGCCACTAATTGATTGTGTCAGCTTGGACAGGTCACTTTCCATTCAGAACAAACAGCAACAAATAATTCCTTGTCATGCTTCTCACGCATCTAAGAACTTAGGGATTTTGTTTTTTTCATTGTATTCTTAGTGCCAGTCTAGTTCCTGGCACATGGCAAAAGGGCAATCAGTGTTTACTCAGTGTATATGAATGAATTAACTTTTCTATGTCTTTAGATTTTTCCCATCTGTAAATTGGGCACACCAGTACTTCCTTTGATAAGTGTAATTTAGTAGATGTGAGAGCACTTTGGAAAGTTCTGAATACAATATATTGTATTATGGGATGATCATTAGATCAACGAATTAACTAAGGAGTAGACACCGAATCTTTCTTGAATACAACAGAATTGAAAAACCATTTTCCCTTCAAAGACTTTATCTTTAAATAGGAAATAACATAGGAATAGTTAGTTTTGTTGATTTTTCTCTCCAAGTTTAGATCACTGAAAAGATAACAAATGAAAACATTCACAAGAGATTGGAGTATTTCTGTGAGTTTGGTTTTGCTTATTATACCATTCTATGATGCTGGAAATAATGTTTGAAACAAAATCTTAATTAGCTGCATTTTTTTAGCATTTAACTTATTTTAATGTGTTTTATTGTATAATAGGGACATAACTTCCTGTTAAAATCTTTCTGCAGAAATATTTTAATGTTGATAACAAAAAGAATTTTTGTTTGCTTATTAAAAGGAATAGGTTCTTCTTGAAAGTTCAATTTGTTTCCTTAGAAGAGAATTAGGAAAATACAAAAGGAAATACCCTTATTGGAGCTTCCTCAAGGAATAGGGATTTGATAAATAAGAACATCACAAAGTTAATGTAAAGATACTTTGTTTTTTTGTGTCTTTAGGTGGTGAAGTCTCACTATCTTGCCCAGGCTGGTCTTGAACTCCTGGGCTTAAGTGATCCTCCCACCTAAGCATCATGAGTAGCTAGGACTTTTTAGATTTTGCCTACCATTTTGATTTGTCATGTGTCATTTTGATTCGTCATTCCTAAAGATTAATGGAGATTCAGAAATATTATGGTTGTTGATTAGTAAAATAAATGAAGGTTTCCATATGATACCTATTTACCCATATTTATATGACAGTTTTATATGTAAAATAGGAGTGATAACTGATCACTGTTTTTGTTTCTTTAGATGGGTAGCCTATGAAAATCCTGACTTCACTGGAGAACAGTATGTTCTGGATAAAGGCTTTTACACCAGTTTTGAGGACTGGGGAGGCAAAAATTGTAAGATCTCTTCTGTCCAACCCATAAGTTTGGTAAGGACTTATATGTTTGTACAAGAATATTTAACTGGGGCTGGGGCTGGGGCTGGGGCTCACCGGTAGTGCACTTGCCTGGTATGTGTGAGGCACTGTGTTGGATTCTCAGCACCACATATAAATAAATAAAATAAAGATCTATCAACAAACTAAAAAATAAAAAAAAAAATATTTGTATCAATTTGGGATTTTCATAATGTATACTTCTGGTTCACACATTATTGACTGCTACAGGAAATATTCTGAGGTTATTTTAACAGTAATTGCTAATGGTCTGAAAGAGAAAGTTTCTTCAATATGTTTGCTCTATTAATTTCCTTTTCTCTTCCTTTTTAAAATTTTTAGGATTCTTTCACTGGCCCAAGGAGACGAAACCAGGTAATTTTTAAAAATATTCCAGTTTTGTTTTCTTTCTTTTCTATTCTTTTCTTTTCTTTAAAATAATTAAGGGACCTTTCACTGAAAAGCTGACTTATGTGTTAAGTGTCAGATATGTGGGACATTTTGTTAATTTCACCCATTTTTATGCTGGAAAACCTAATTGTATTTTTTATTTTCTTTTCATCCTCGTCTCTCTACTCCTTTCCTCCTTTTTTTTTTTTTTTTTGGCTAGGGATTAAACCTAGGGCTTTATGTACATCAATTGTACTATTTATTTATTTATTTTGCATTACAATTCTTAATACACCATTATACAATAATTCATCAGTTGTATTTTAAAAATAAGATGTTAGCTTTAATGCTTAATTGGTAGCACTGACCCACGTCTAAATTTTTCTTATATTCTTATCATGTAAATTATCATGTAAAGCTGAAATCTATATCATCACATTGAATCAGTTTACATTAACATACTAAGATAAATATTTCAAACAATAGCATATAGTTATCATGATAAATGGTAGAATGAATTTTCATATTTGCTGTGTCTGCATTAGACTGGCATTTTATATGGTCTCACTCAAGCCTTTTGATGATTGCAGACTCCCAAATCAACTGCAGTGTTGCATTTGTTATTTAAGCTTTTTAATGGAAATGTTCAGACAGCCATAATTACAGAGGTACAAACATCACTCTAGTTTCCTTTATTGGCATATGAATGATTCTAATAAGTCAGCAAGTATCTTCCATTGAGAGGGAAGAAAATATACTATATATTTCCAAAATGCAGTTTATTGTTAATTTTAGAACAGATGAATAATTACTTTTGGCCACAATAAAGCTTTAAAATGCCTCATAGCTTGTTAACAATAGGGTGTTCTATAGAAAGTTGCCTCTGTTGTTGGATTGTCCTTTGATGCTGCTGAATTAAATAGTCATGAATGGTATAGCCAACATGTTTCTAATTGATCATTAATACAATAGTAGAAAATTAAAGGATTCGTAAAGTTCACACCAGTTTGCTGTAACAAGTTAGCAGGTCAGTTTTGGGTCATCAATTCAAAAGTTGAATGTGTTAACATGTTTTAGGGAAATAATTTTGTGTGTTCTGTTTACTTTTGCAAAGATTCACTTGTTTTCAGAACCACAGTTTCAAGGTCAAAGTCAAAGATTTGAAGAAACAACAGATCAAATTGATGATTCGTTTTCTACCAAGTCCTGCCGAGTTTTAGGAGGCAGGTAAGCAAAACAATGGAGTTGCAGAGTGGGATCACTGGGATAAAATACAATTCACAAATCAATTTTGCAATAGTCATCAGGTGCCTGGCACTCTATGAAACCACCATCTTAGTTCAGAAGTACACTTTGCAGCATCTGAGTGCTAGATGCCAGAGGATGTGGACATCAGTGTGGGTTAGAGAAGTTGAAGGTCACCTCAGTGTGCGAGGAATTCATGTCAAATTCCATACTCCACACACCTGCTCCCTCATCTATAAAAGGAGAGCTGGACCCTAGATAATATCTAAGGTACCTCACAAAGTAGATTGTTTTATAGCAGACAGTAATACAATAGGCACATTCTGTACACAAGGCAGATGAAGAAAGCACATGGCTGGGGTGGGGTTGGTGTTCATGCTGATCCAGGAACACACCATCCCTCCTAGCTGGAGCCTCTTGTTGGAAAGAAGCAAGCCAGGTTGTACTGGGAGGGTGAGCTCACACTGCAAAGACTCCCCCTAGGCAACAAGAGTTTCTCTGAATGCCACAGGAAACCCAAGATGGGAAAGGCCTTGGGCTCAACCAGCCAAGCTGAAAAACAATGGTTTTACCAAAGCTTCCTTAGAAAGGGGAGGGTCTAAGGTCTGGGAAACTTGGTCAGGAAAATGTTGGAGCAGTCTGTATAAGAATTGATGAGGAATTAAGTCTAATGATAATAGTAATGGTTCCTTTGATCCTATAAGCCACACTTCCATATCACTTAGCATCTCACAGTGAAAGAGCACTCGCTTCATGTTCAAATACATACACTGATGGTGAGGCTTCAGAGCTGCTTAGCACATGGCTCCATCTCAACCTGGCTGTTCCTTATTCCCCCTTGCTTCATGTAGTACTGTCAGACATGCACTTGGTTTTGTTGCCTGTCTCAACTCTTTGTAAAGTATAAATTAAGGAGAATAGGGACTTGTTTTGTTTTCTCCTGTGTCTCTAGATCAGGAAAATGCCTGACATGCAATTGTCCTCAATGAGCATTTGTAGAATTTAAGGGGGCATTTAGAATCTAGGGAAGCATGATATATCACCATTTTATCTATAATCTTGAGGCCTTAAGAGGCCAAGTGATTTGTCTAAGTCACTATGATATTTTTGAGTCCTGGCCCAGGCCAGAGCTGTTGGAAATGAGGGTAAAGAGTAAAGGGAAGTATAAGAGAAATTTTGGGAGGATATCAATATATCTTGGTGACTGACAGCTTTGATGGTTGAAGAAAAATTATAACAGAGGACTCCTAGGCCTGAAGCTACATGAGCTGGGGATAGGTGGCACCTATGAGAGGAGCAAGGAAGGCTGGGAGGTGGGGAAGTAAAACCAAGGGTCATTTCACAGAAAAGAAAGTTTTGTTTCCAAAATGCAAAGTTAATTTATATGAATTTTATATATATATATCTTATATTCATAAGTTATATAATTTATATAACTTATGAATATGAATTTGTCATGAGATGAAATGAAGTAAATATATCCAGATATTTTTGAAGAAAGAAGAGTTAGCCATAAGCCTCATGTTTATGGTATGGCAGTCTTCCTCTAAAATTCAGACTTATTGAGTAGAAATGCTCAAATTGCATCCTGCGTGTGTGGTTTTTCCTACTGTAGCTGGGTTGCATACGATGGAGAAAATTTCTCTGGCAATCAGTATGTGTTGGAAGAAGGCCACTATCCTTGTCTCTCTGCAATGGGATGCCTGCCTGGAGCAACTTTCAAGTCTCTTCGTTTCATAGATGTGGTAAGTATGTCAGTGTGAACACAGGATTTCAGAAATGTATGGTCCTCATAGCTGATGATTAGAGCAGGAAACCAGCATCTAGAACTTACTTAGGGATTAACGTTGGAGACAAGAAAACAGTTGCAGTGAGCTCTCCATCCTGTCACTTTTGATGTCTTTATATGTCTGTAATGTATAAATTGTTTGCTGTTTTCTCAGACTTCTGGGGCAGGGTGTTAGGTTAGTCACAGGCCACTGTCATTATGGGATAATTCAAGGACCCTCTCCTGTGTTGTTTTTCTCTACTTCCTACCATATTTGTATCCTTCTCCCTTTCACAGGCACCCATTCTAATGTGTTTTTGGAATATAGCTTGGATAGTCTTGTAAAATGTATGTTTTTGAAAGATCTGTATTTAGGCTTTTGATTTATATAAACCTTATGCTACAATTCTCGTGCTTATAAATGTAGCTACTTAACATCAAGAACTTTCAAGAGCCATCCGTTTTGCTATATGTACATGTAGATTGTTAGCTAACTATACATGTATTCCACACCTTGTGTTACTTATTGGATCCTCATATGCTTATCCTGCTGGGACATGTGGGAGTCTCTTGGGGATGACTAGGGAGTGGAAGTGCTGGATCTCACTTGGTGCTGCCAGATCCCACCACCTCTTCCCACTGGTGGGGCACTCCGATGCCTGCTTCCCACATTATCACAACTGTGTATTCTCTTTCTCATGTCAATTTGATGGAATGGGTAGAAAGTATTATGTCACTGTTGGGTTGATTTGTACATCACTGTTAGGTTGGTAGCTCATGTAATTTATTTGTCATATTCTGATTGGTAAATTGCCAATTTATAGCCTTTGTCCGCCTCCTTATTTGTTTTTCTGTATCCTTTAGGGTTGTTACTGATTTGCAGAAATTCCTGGTAGTTTTTTAGACCATTATGACTCTTGTAGGAGAAATTTTCAAATGACTTCTAAGTGTTAATCCAGGTTATAGTGCCCCCTTTTGGACAGAAATTTTTCATTTTGACGTAGTCCAAGTAATAGAACAACACAACTGCAAGATAATTTTCCGATATTTAAGTCTAAGTGTGTCTGCAATTTTGGAAATTTTTTTTTTAGTTCTTGGTAACTGATCTCATAAAAGGCTTTAAACATATGTACATGATGATTTTAAAGATAGGAAGAACATGTGAGTTGGCTTTCTATTATCCATGCCTGCCAGTTTAAATGACAAAATGCTATTGAGACATGAAAATAGTATTGGTGAAACATGGAATGATGTGGTAAGATTCATTAGCTTACAAGTAATGGAATAAGACTTTCTGATAGTTACTTTTGCCTAAAATTCTAAAGGCTACCTTCAAGTATATATTTTGAGGTTTTCAAATGCTATTCCTTAATCAGAGCTAGGCATTTATATTCACAGCTCTCAGACACTTACCTGTAAGTGTCTACATCATCTGTGATGTCCTTTTAAATTTTGATTGTGAGGGAACAGACATTTTTGCCCATAGTAAAAATATACATTTTTGTGGATGTGCAGTGCTGGGGATCAAACCTGGGCAGGCCTTGTTGCAGGCTAGACACTCTACTACTGAGCTGCATCCCCAGCCCTATATATTTTTAATTGTAATTTAATACTTCAGAATTGTTTAATTGATTCTTGATATTAATCTTGAGGGTTGGGAACATTTTGGGGATGTCATTTTAGAGAAAATTGCAGTAAACATGCAAAGTAGTTAGATGAGTACAATTTTTGTCTTGTTTCCTCCTTGTGTGTTTTATATAACCTAATTCCTAGAACATGCAAACCACCTCCACATATTAATCTGCTCTGTTGATGGGTGGACGAAATCTTTCCTACATGTCAGGGCATATCCACATAAACGAAGCAGTAAAGTGCCGCACCCTTGCCACAGAACTTTAAGCAGGTGGGGAAATAATTACAATCCCCACCTACTTTTTTGATGTATCATTTATGATCTTAGGAGTATTATCATTAGAGCTTAGTCTAGGGTCATAAGGGTTTGTAATTTGAAAACGAACATAAACTGCCAACATTTCATTTTTCTGAAATCAGTGAACTGGTGTGTTGTTGTTCTCTTTAAAATGATTAACAGTTTGAAACTGGGGCTTCCATCCTGTTTTCTTTCCCCCAGACAATGATGCCTACAGGAAGGTTTGGGAGCGTGAGTATATAGAATCCTAATCTTATTAACACAAAAAACAAAAACATTTGAAAATAGCTGCAAAGGGACATCTCCTTAACTAGGAATACTACTGAAAAAGGCTAGGGTGAAAATAAATTCTGTCAAAAGTGTTGATATTCCACGTATGTCTGCATTTCTCTGGCTGGGATCTTTTCCTCTGCTACTTAACATGATTGGCGTGGACCTGCCTTTATGTGCAGTGGGGAAACTTGCAGCCCCTCTATCCTTTCCCTGCACTTCGTAGCATGTAGTCACCAGGCTTCCCAGGAAAGGGAGTTTATGAATCAGCCACATCTGGCAGTCTTGTGCTTTGTCCTTGTACTCAGATCATTTTCACATAAGCTTCCAATTATTAACAGATGAATAACAGAACACTATTTTTGTTTCCAAACAGGAATTTTCTGAACCAACAATTATTCTTTATGAAAGAGAAAATTTCAAAGGAAAAAAGATTGAACTTAATGCAGAGACAGTTAATCTCCAATCCCTGGGATTTAACACACAAATACGCTCTGTTCAGGTTCTTGGTGGCATGTAAGTGAGTTATCTACTTGTTAATCCAATAAAATCGATTTTTTTCCCCTTTAAAGAGATAGGGTCTCTTGGGGCTGGGATTGTAGTTCAGTGGTTGAGCCCTTGCCTCACATGCATGAGGCACTGGTCCAATCCTCAGCACACCATAAAACTAACTAAATAAATAAATAAATAAAACAAAGATATTGTGTCCATCTACAACTAAAAAAAAAGTTTTAAAAAAGAGAGAGAGAGACATGGTTTCATTGTGTTGCCCAGGCTCAAGTGATCCTCACATCTCAACATCCTGAGTAGCTGGGACTACAGGCATGTGCCACCACCCCAGGCAAAAAATATAATATTTAAAATTAGGGTTTTTAAAAAATTTATTTATTTATTAGTTGTAGATGGACACAATACCTTTATTTTATTTATTTATTCATTTTTATGTGGTGCTGAGGATCGAACCCAGGGCCTCACATGTGCTAAACGAGCACTCTACTGCTGAGCCACAACCCCAGCCCTAAAATTAAGTTTTTAAAATATTTTAAATTGACTGATAATTGTATTACTTATGGGGTACAAAGTGGTGTTTTGACACATGTATACATTGTGGGATGATTAAATAATATTAATTAGCTTATCTATCACCTCAAATATTTATCATTTCTCTGTGCTGAGAAAATCAATTTAAAATCCTTTTTTTAGCTATTTTGAAACATACATTATTCTTCATTATAGTTACCTTGTTATGCAGAACAACACTTATTCCTCCTGTCTGTTCCTAACTGTAACTTTGTATCCATTGACCAACATCTCACCCTCGGGCCTTCCACCCACTGCCTGTAGTAACTACCTTTCTACTGTCTACTTCTAAGAGTTCAACTGTGTTAGATTTCACAAAGAAGTGAGATCATGTGATATTTGTTTCTCTGTGCCTGCCTTACAAAAATTAAGGTTGGTCAGATTTCCCTCTTTCCTTCCTTACCTTAAATGAATGGACATATAGCTCTTCCTTTCTTGGTGGGAAAAGCCATATGTAAACCATCTTTCATCTCCTTATTTGAATTTTTAGCTTCAGATAAGGACTTTGTCTTTAACACCTCTTGAAGTCCCCAGGGGAATGCTTTGCATACAGTGCTCAGCAAATTTATGGGGCACCTTTTTTAGCAAAGAAGAAAAAGCTGATTTTTCTTATTCCTTTGAAAGACCAAGTCCTTTGATTTGGAAGCTAAAGGTTAAGCTTTTTCTTTGACTAGAAGTGACTGACAGATGGGAAGATTTTTTTTTTTTTCAACTTTGACTGATTTTGAAATTGAGTAGGACATACAAATGAATAAGTAACTCCTCGGCACTGCTGCACATACCTATAATTTCAGCAAATTGGAAGGCTGAAGTAGGAGGATCATGAGTTCAAAGCCAGCCTTAGCAACTTAGCAAGCCCAGAACAAGTCAGTGAGACCCTGTTTCAAAATAAAAAAAATAAAAAGGGCTAGTGATATGGCTCAGTAGTTAAGCACCCCTGGGTTCCATCCCTGGTACCAGAAAAAAAAAAAAAAGTAGTAGTAGTATCATTAATGTAGTACATTTTTATTTATAAAATAACAGGTATGGTCTACCTGTATACCAAATGTTGGGGTGAGGGGACTGTAGTTATTTTAAAAATTAGAACTATGGGTGGTTTTTTTCAGTAGGTTCTATTAAATATTTTATGATAAGATGGCTAAAGTAACATTTTGGTGTGCCAGCTCCAGCATTTGGGGGGAAGGAACCTGAGTATCTTTTTAACATTTTTATTGATTTTACTCATTTTAAACAAAAATTTATTTTTTACTTAATCTTTAACACTAACTAATGCTGCATATTAAGAATTTGCAAATATTAACTATTTAAATAAAGATCCATAAACTGCGGATGTTTTAAGAACAACTCTCAGGAAGGACTGTGGAGTCCTACTAAAAGATCATCTTTATTTCATTGTTTTATTGGAGGAAAAAGATTACCAATTTCTTTTTGAGACTGTACCCAAAATCTGCTATTTGTCAAAAAAAAAAAAAAAGGCTGACTTAAGTGTTCTAGAAAATAGTTTCATCCCCCTAACCAATGTATATTTAAAGTATACAGTTCAGTCCAGAATTTGAGAAAGCATTCTAAAAATAGATGTAATTGTTAGGGCCCATTGTCAAAAGAAAATTTCCATTTCCTATGGTTATCTCCTTTCCTCTCCTCACCCCCAGATGGATTACTTATGAATATGGAAATTACAGAGGTCGGCAGTTCCTATTGTCACCAGCAGAAGTACCTAGTTGGTATGAATTCAGTGGCTGTCGCCAAATAGGTTCTCTAAGACCCTTTGTTCAGGTATGTTTTCCTTTCTCCTGCTGTGAATCTTCTCTGAAATTTTTTTCTTTTTTGAAAGTACAAGTCAACTTTGAGTTTCTAAAGTTTGAAATTGGCTCCTCCCCCACCCCCTCAGTATTTAGGCTCAGTATTTGGGCAACATGTGGGGTGGCTGCTTCAGAAATGCTAACATCAGACATGGTATGTTCCAAGCTCTGGTGTGTCCATAGGCAGGGTCCCTGCCCTCGGCACTTTGAAATGTTGTCAAACTCTTATCATTGAGAAAATCTTGAAACCTCTGAGGCTCTCAAGTATAATAATTATCCCTTATCCATACTTCACTTTGACTTCTTCCAAATATTAATGCTTATTCAGTGTTTCTAACAGCACAGTTTGTATGTGACTATTGCTGGGGTTTTTGTCTTCTAGAAACGAATTTGTTTCAGACTTCGAAACAAAGCAACAGGGTTATTCATGTCAACCAATGGCAACTTAGAGGATTTGAAGCTTCTTAGAATACAGGTCATGGAAGATGTTGGTGCTGATGATCAGATTTGGATTTATCAAGAAGGATGCATCAAATGCAGGGTGAGCTTTTTGGACTAGGCAGGGGTCTAGAATACCTTTGCCAGGAGGTAATTCATCCTTTATCATGCCTTTGATCTTTCTTCAAGTAGATACTACTCATGATTCCTGGAGCACTTTGCAAATAAATTGGAAGGTGTCTTTTTTTTTTTTTTTTCCATGAAAATATTCCTCAGCTCTGATGAACCAGTCTTAGGAACCTAAAATGGGAGGTAAATTTAGTACTGATCCAAGATAGAGTATTTCTATTTATACTCGTTTTTATATTGTAATAGAAAAAGGAAATGATTGTTATTCTTCTCCTTTCCTTAATCTACTTATTACAGAAGTAAACTCTAGTCCCAGTGCATCAACCAAAATCACTCTTGGTTTGTTTCTGTTTTGGAGAACACACAGTACAGGAGGAAGGGTGAAGAGAGGGCCCTGGGTGCACATCATCCATTTCCTAATGGTCACATGCCGTGAAGTGGAGGATGGCCCATCGCCCTCTTGCATCACTCTTGTCCCCACAGACATTTAAAAGCTGAATGTAGACAGATTTTACGAGAGAAGTTCACGCTTCTATTGTAGGTCTCTTCTTTACTCCTTAACTTTATGGGCTTGACTGTTGGCTCCAGGTATTTTAAAAACTTGGTGCCCGTGAGTCAGCAGAAGGCACACAGTCTCATGGGGAGGAGCACATTTGCTCATTGGGTCTGCCATGCTTGAGGGAGAATCAGCCTTTCGAAAACAGAAGCACTGTTTAGACACGCATAGAAGCAGCGGCACGAGAAACAGAAGTAGCTGAAACATAGAAGCATGAAGAGAAGCCCATTTCTGTCTTGGAATTATCTTAATGCAATAAAATAGTGCTTCCAACAGTTATTTCTAACAACAATTCAGTGATATTGTTTAAAAACTTTTAATTCATTAGGTAAATGAAATAAGTGAAGTGTCACAACTGATCTCAATGCTTTCATCTGGACATAGAATAGGTACAATAGACTAGGTACTGACTGATAGGTACTGAATAGGCACTAACTGATTGATTGATTGATTGAGGTGCTGGGGATTGAACCCAGGGCTTGGAATATGCTAGGCAAGTGCTTTACTACTGAATTTCATCCCCAGCCTAGAATAGTACTCTTTTAGTGAGCTTTTAAAAAACTTTTATTTACTTTTATAGCACTGCGGTATGTGAACTTATGACTGTAATACAATGTTTATATATTAAGGGTAAATTCTTTTCAGGGAAAGACTCTTAAACTCCTTGCATTAAAACACTCTCTGGTGAGCTTGTAGTTTCTTCTCTTTTTATAGTGGATAGCATGCCTATTTAGGAAATTTTAGACATTTCTCCTGAAGGAAAGACAAGAGAAGCTAATAAACGCAATTTCAAGTATTAAAATGATAAAATGCCCTGTAGCCACTCCAGTGCTATAGCATTAGAAGTGCAGTCATATACTAGAAGGTCAGGCCAAGCAGAGGCAGGTGTGTGTGGTGGGGGTGAGGGGAAGAGATTGAGCTACAGACCCAGCCTCAGATCACAGTCACTTCTAACAGAGAAAAATATCACAATGGGGAGTTTCAATGTCCTGAGACTTAAGAGTAATACAGAGTCTTGTCAAGGGCAGAAGTCTCTTTATGATGGACGAGAACTGAGAACTTTCCATTACTCATGTCCTCTGAAATAAAGGTCATAAATAGTTGTTGTCTGAGTCTAGTTATTCTGGCTAAAAGCTAAAATGCTTCATGTGGGATAAATGAAGTCAGGAACTATGATAATTAAAAAAATCATTTTAACTAGAGGAATAATTGCTGTGAGACTTGAATATGTCTCCTTCTCTAATGCTTTGTTTTTTTCCACTACACAGATAGCAGAGGACTGCTGCCTGACAATCGTGGGCAGCCTGGTAACATCTGGCTCAAAGCTGGGTCTGGCACTCGACCAGAGTGTTGACAGTCAGCTCTGGTGCATGAAGCCAGATGGCAGGATCCACAGCAAACTGAAGCCCAATTTAGTTTTAGATATCAAAGGTAAGGATCATTTCCTTTATTATAATGTACCCTTGCTTCAGTTAAGGAAAAATCTCCTCTGAAAATGATAAGTACACTATGAATGGTAAGTGTTTTTGTTAGCTTTTTCATCACTATGACCAAAACACCTGACAGGAACAACTTATAGGAGGAAGTTTTTTTGAGGGGGGCTCACAGTGTCTGAGGTCTCAGTTCATAGATGGCTGACTCCATTGTTTTGGGTCCTAGTGAACAGCACATCATGGGGGAAGGGCCCAGCAGAGGAATGCTGCTCAGCTCATGGAGGGAGGGATCAAGAAGCAAAGAGAGAAGGGGGGGGAGGGACACACTTTCTGGGACACCTCCTCCAGTATCCACCTCCTCCAACCACGCTCCACCTGCCTTCAGTTAGCACCCAGTCAGTCCATTCAAACTATGATGGACTGATTAGGGCATAGCTCTCATAATCTAATCATTTTACCTCCAAACATTCCTGCATTAACACAGGAGTTTTGGGAGGACACCTTACATCTATCACAGTAAGAGAGCCCCTACTAGGTGCCAGCCACTGTGTTGAACATGTCACACACATTAGCTTGTGAGATCATGCTTCATAGCAGCCCTAAGAGGTCTGTGTTCTCTTCCTCCCTCCTCTCTCCCTTCCCATTTTAAGCCCCAAATCCTAAGGCTCAGAGGCATTAGTCAGTTTGGCCATGATCTCACACCTGTGAGAGCTGAGCTGGATCTGGATACAGGCTCATTTCCAAACCTTTTTTTTTTTTTTTTAGGTGCTAGGGATGGAAACCAGAGTCCAAGCATGCTAGGCATGTGTTCTATCACTGAGCTACAACCCCTACCCTGTTTTTATTATAAAAATAATAATCTAAAAGGCTGTTATCATAGTATAGTTGATGGTTCTCATGTATATACATGTAGCCTTTCATTGAAAAGATCTAAGACCAAAAGGAATTAACAGAGGATGATTTCAGTAGAACATGTGTTCAATGCCATTTATCCAGGGTAAATGGATGGTGCTTCTTGGAAGAGTGAGTTGGGCCAGTGGTCCTCAAAACATATCTGTTATAGAATTACCTGCAAGACTGTTTAAGGAAAGACTGCTGGGTCTCATCCTCAGAGTTCCTGATACAATAGGTCTGGAGGGATACCCAAGAATTTGCTTTTCTAACAGGTTTCCAGGTGCTACTGATGCTGCTGGTCTGAGGACCAAACTAGGGGAACCATTGATGGTACTTTAAAAAAAATGGAAAACAAAACTGACCTAATATTATAATGGAATTCAGAGAATTACTGTTGTTGCCATTTACAAGCAAATGAAGACCAAGTATTCATGTCATCTGGGGCAATTTTGTTTTAAATTATTAATGGGCACTTTTCTATTTCCTATCAAGAGAGCTGGCATGATTGTTTTGCTACACAGTAAACCAGTGATAATGTAAACATACTTCACTCTGTACTCCATTCTAACTCACCACTAGAAGTTGGTTCGATTTTTACTTTAATCAGGACTGTAGGCCAATGCCGTCATTAAAAACCAAGATGTAAGGGTAAAAAAAAACAACTTAGTCTGGTTTTTAAGACACTTCTGGACAATGGAAAATACAGCATGAACTTTTTTTCCCCCTTATTTGTTATTCTTAGTTATACATGACAGCAGAGTATATTTGACATATTATACATACATGGAATATATCTTGTTCTAATTAGGATCCCAGTCTTGTGGATGTACATGATATGGAGATTCACTGTGATGGATTCATATATGGACATAAGTCATGATAGATTCATTCAACTGTCTTTCCTATTCCTATACCCTGTCACTTCCCTTCATTCCCCTTTGTCTAATCCACTGAACTTCTATTCATCCCCTCCCCACTTTGTTGTGTGTTAGCATCCACATATCAGAGAGAACATTCAATCTTTGATTTTGGGGAGATTGGCTTATTTCGCTTAGCATGGTAATCTCCAGATCCTTCTATTTACTGGCAAATATCATAAAGTCAGTCCTTTTTATGTCTGAGTAATATTCCATTGTGTATATATACCACATTTTCTTTATCTATTCATCTGTTGAGGGGCACCTAGGTTTGTTTCATAGCTTAGCTATTGTTAATTGAGCTGCTATAAACATTGATGTGGCTGGGTCACTGTAGTATGCTGGTTTTAACTCCTTTGGATAGATGCCTAGTAGTGGGATAACTGGTTCAAATGGTGGTTCCATTCCTAGATTTTTGAAGCATCTCCATACTACTTTCCAGAATGTTGCACCAATTTGCAGTTCTACCAGCAATGTATTATTGTACTTTTTCCCTCACATCCTCGCCAACATTTGTTATTACTTGTATTCTCAATAATTGTATTCTGACTGGAGTGAGATGAAATCTCAGTGTAATTGAACATTTTTTCATATATTTGTTGGCCATCCGTATTTCTTCTTGTAGGAAGTATCTGCCCATTTATTGATTGGGTTATTTGTTTATTTGTGGGTTTTTGTTTTTGTTTTTTTGGTATTTTGAGTTCTTTGTATATCCTGGAAATTAACAACCTATATGAGGTGCCGGTGGCAAATATTTTCCTCCCATTCTGCAGATTATTTCCTTTGCTGTGAAGCTTTTTAGTTTGATACCATCTCATTTATTGATTCTTGATTTCGCTTCTTATCAAGAACATTTTTTATCAGGGGTTTTGGTAACTGCTTAGGAATAGAAGTGCCTATCAATTCCTGTGATCTCCAGGTAGGTAGAGTGGCCAATCCACTTAGCAGTGGAATTAAAATCACAAAGAACTTGAGAAGTTGGAAAGGTGCTCAGACAGGCAGACAAACCAAGTTGAATGAAGGCAGAGGCTGAGCACAAATTAAGCAATGTGCTTGCAGGCTGGATGGGGACAAGAAAATTATGTAAAATGTGCATAGGATCCTTGCATATGAGAAAATAAGTCTCACATTCAGAAAATGAACTACTATGTAGCATACATCCCTCATATCACATTTGATACAATAGATTTCTCTCACTATACAGACAGGCACAATACCCATTTTACAATCTTGAGAAGATTACTCAAAATTCAAACTGGCTAACAGTCACCGACCCAGGCCTTTGTTCTTTTGGTCAACTCTGTGGCACTGGCACTCCTCATTCCATGTAAAATAGCTTCAAAATCCCCAGAGAAGACAAAGAAATGTGACAAAATTGGAAATGTTAGAAAAACTCAGATATGTTTAGTCCCCAAAAGAAGGCTAGGCAGACCTTCATGTTTCTTACAGGTGCCATTAATGCCCTATGTCCAGGATTAAGATCCCTGTAATCCTTCGAGCTTTTCTCCTTTTGTTCCTTCAACAGTCAGTATTCACTGGTACCCACCAGGTGGCAGGCTCTCTGCTGAACTGTGGAATACCAAAGTGAATGGTGACCACTGCCTTGGCTCTGACCTGAACTTGGGACTCTAGGAGGTTCTTCTCTAGGGCCTCAGAGCCCCTTCCCTAGAATAGTTATACATTAGTCAAGTGCCTCATGAGTAAGGACAGTGGCCTGTATATTTGTGAAGTCTCAATATGTAGTATGGCAGCTGCAATAATTACTTAATTTCTTGTTATACTGAATTTAAATTTCTCAGCATGTGGGAGAATGATGCCATCTTCTGGACAGGGAGGTGTAGAGCACTGACCACACTCAATGCAAGGAAAATAATAAGCACATCTGTCCTCTTCCATGCACTTAGTAGGAGACTGTGGTTTCCGTGAGCTACCCCAGAACCATTCAAATTGCCAGAACCTGTTAAAATTGCTGTAACACTTACTAGATCAAGTGTGTTTCCTCTGTGCTTCTGTTTAGAGAGGAAGTTGTTTGGATAGTCCCGTATTATTCCAGGACTTATCTTATGGTAACAGTGGAAGCTGATTCATAAGCACTTTAAAAAACATCAAAAGTCTGGCAGGATTATACTATTAGTAGATGAATGAAACAACTGTATATCACAAAAACTAAAAGTGAACCAAAGTAGAAAGGATATCTTCCAGGCAATATTTTTCTATTGTTATGTGTTTTAAGGAAATGCTACTGATTTCTTTTAAAGAGGATGGAAACTTTGTTCCAAATTACTCTTCCTCAGTCCTGTTTGCCAAGAACTCAGATGTAACTGGCTAAGAGTCATTGACCCGGGCCTTTATTCTTATTTGATCAACTCTGTGGCACTAGCACTCCTCAATGTAAGATAGCTTCAAAATCCTCCAGGGAAGACAAAGAAAGGTGATGAAATTGGAAATGTTAGAAAAATTAGGATATTTAGTCATTTCACACACATGGCAGGCATGTGTGTGATTTCAGTACATAGGTGGTGTAGATATGATAGAACAACTGGTGGCCTCATTTACACCATTTATGCATGTTGTATGGGAAGGTAAGTTAAAACAAACAAAAAACCCACGTAGTGTCTTCCAGTCCCCAAATATGTGCTAAAAAAAAATAAAGGTCTTTGTGCTTCATTTTTAGTCACTTATACTCTCTACCCATCCAACACTATCTTTTGTATCATATAGTCCAGTAGAAATCTACCTGATTTTCCCTTGTTTTTGTTTTTTGTGGTGCTGGGAATTGAATCCAGGGCCTCACATATCGAATCCAGCACTTTACCACTGAGCTCTACCTTTAGCCCTGAAATATACCTATTTTCTAAAAAGAGAGAAGAAAAAAGTCTGGGATGATTAAATTCTTCCCAAGGGCAAATTAATGACTCAGATTATTTCTCAAGATCTTTCTAGTCTTCGTGAGTCCAATTAGAATTGGTACAATACACACAAAAAGTAAATATTATTAAGATACTCTTATCTTGGACTCTAGCAGTACAGCCCCTGGATTTGATCCCCAGTACCACAAAACAATGACAAATACTATAATCTTGAAGATTGAAAAGAGAAGGCCCTGTGCCCTGACTACTTTCTGAAACTTCAGTGGGGCATGTTGTGTCTTGGTGGATAGCATACGATTTACTAGTCCCTACTGCTGACTTGGATATAAAAAGGCCCAAGGCACCTTGCTGCACGTACCTGGAGAGGCTCTTGACTATTAGTGATGACAAATTGATTTCTTATAGAAGTATAAGAGATGACTTCCTTCCCCATCTGCCTTGATCTATCATGTAAATTTTCAGACCTTTTGCAAATGATTTAAGGGAGAAAAGAAGTTTATTTCTTCTTGGCCTGATGATGAAGCATGATTTCAATACCAATCATGCCCTGCAACCAGACACACAGATTTTTATTTCCCTGAAGCCCCTGGTAATGCACCTTGGTGCAGAGTCTTATGCTAAATAAAATAAGGTATCTGAAAGGATGTTTATTCCATAATGGAAAGAAAATCAGAAAGCCTTTATTGGGTTAATGATACTTCACCATCAGGAGTATAAAAGATACTTCTCTATTAAAAGAAGGTGGTTTTAACAAAGTATCAAAAGTTTCCAATAAGTATCCTTGGAAAGTCTTCTTGCAGACATTCTGGTGAAGAAAAGTTATGAGGTGTATGACACTACTTTTACAGTACAAAGGTACTTAGCATTTTAACTGCTGGGTATTTTTGTTTGCCAAGTTCCCGGTGGTGGGAGTGCTTCTGGTCTCTGTGTATACTTCTGGGTGTCATTAAATCCTCCCCTTGGACTTAATATCACCATTTTTTCATTATTCTCGAGAAACCTGTTGCCTCTGATAGCCACTCCCACTGCCTTTCTGCCAGTGTAGGTCTGTTTATTCCTCACTAGGAGCTCAAATTCATGATCTCACCACTGACTCTACTGTGGTCTCTTTGCTTTTTTCCCCCTCTAGATGTTTCCCTGTTGCCCCCAGTTTCAGGCATGGTAAGAGGGACCATACACTGGCCTTTAAGAATCAGGTAGAAAAGGAGCCCCATGAGGTAGGCTATGCCATGGGAAGCTGCCGGGGTCCCATGATGAATTTCATTAGACTAGCCTATGATAGGTTGAGCCTCTCATCCCACAGGAGTTCAGGGCTTCCTTCCTGCTGTTTCCTTGGAGCACACAGTTTCACGCCCTGTGCGTTTGCTCTAGAGTATTGGTATAAATTGTGTCTGCTGTTGTCCCTTCACCTTGGGCATATTTCCTCTTTTCTTTCTTTCAGGGGGTGCGCAGTATGATCAGAATCACATTATCCTCAACACAGCCAGCAAAGAGAAGTTAACACAAGTGTGGGAAGCCATGGTCCTATGAGCCAGAACAACGGATACAGAGGGAACCTTTCTGGAGGTCTTTCCAGCTGCCTTATTTAAGAAACACAAAGGACAATACTGATGGAGGAGCCAAGTGGAAAGTGGATGGACTTCTTCTTCCATCTTGAATGACACTGCCGTGGCTGGGAGAATCATCTCATCTTTTCAAAAGACTGCAATAATTTTAAACCAATACTTTGTCCTCCTTTCATTTCTTGCCTTTCATTTTCTCTCAGTAGCTACTTAAACAGGTTGCATCACTAGCAGCTTTGGGGGTGTTTAAAGATGCGATAGGAAGACTTCAAGATTATGAATGTTTAAAATTATTTCCAAAGATTGTAATGGAGAGAACAGGATCAAGTTTACTTTGTGGACTTAAAAATCCCTTCTACTTTAAAGGGAAGGATAAAAGCCTAAGTTTGTAAGGTCGAAGACTATTGAGCATCTGAGAAACATGCTTTATTAGGCCTGTACCTTTGGTCCTTGGCCTTAATGTTTTCTGGAACCATTAATTATGCTTGATAATAAAGTGTGAAAGCCTTATATGTTCAGAGACATTATAAGTATAAACAAATACTATTTTCTTTCAGTTAATATTTAAAAATTAGTAAACTGATTAACTTCATGTCCATGTCTGCTAACATTTATTAGCAGAATTTGGATTATTCTAGGGGCTGCTCTAGATATCACAAGTGAATGTTTAATGCCTTTCCGATAGCTGCTACTGGAACAGTATTATCATGGCCTAATTTATTAGCCTCTCCTTACTTGTCTGCAAGTACTGAAGCCATGTTCTATAGATTTTTGCTAACCTAACTTCCAGGCACTACTGAGTGGGACAGGCTCAGGTCTGAAGGTACTGGGGGTACTGCAGCCCTGATATCACTTCCTTCTAGTAGCAGAGAGGTGTGCAAAGCTGCAGGGGATGATCAGCACTCATGTCCAGAAAGTAAAAGAGAAGAGACCCTGAAGGCTGGTGTTGGCCATAGGTTACAGCTCTGAGCGCCTGTGAATGCCGTAAGCAATTCAAAAATGCAAAGGAAATGTTTCCCTTGCTGCTCGTTGGTTCTAGTTTTGAACTAAACTGCTAAATGTTTCCTTGAATACAACCTTCCTTTTATTTTTTTTTCCTGTCTTTGTTCCTGAATACCGGTGCTCTTGTTATAAGTAGAACAAATCTTTCCATTTCATTAGTTCAGGTGTTTCCAATTCTGAAATGTGATCCTCCCTGAAGTCTGTAGGCAACTGTGGTCATTAGAATAATTTACCTTCAGTTTTAAAATAATGTTTGCACATGTACAACAGCTCCAACATGTCTGTCTCATTCTTAGATGTAGAGCTCTGATTGTAGGCATTTTGTGTATATCATTACAGAATGATGGGTAAGATATTCTATAATAACCTGTGCTGAATTTATCTCTTGAATAAACTTGTTTCTGGTTAACTATATTGATGAAATCTCATACAGTCCATTCAGAAGCCCTCATCTAACCACTTCTAAGGGTCAGTCAGAAAATTTGAAATAAATGTCTGACAGAGTAGGATGAGGCCAGCTCAGGGTCCTGGTGTGACAGCAGGGAAGGTTTTGCTGACCACCCTTTAACTGCATAAGAGAACAAGTGAAGTCCTGGCCTATCTACTCTCTCAAATACCTAACTCCTCACTACTGCCCTCAGGGACAAGAGCTGAGACTGCTCCAGGTGGAAATTAAGAGCAGCTAGTTTTTACAAATAGAAAAATATCTTTTTCTTTTGAAGTAATTTGTGCTCAGACAACTCTAGAGAAAAGCCCATATCCAACATGCTACCAAATAAGTGTCTAACAGGAAAATACAAAGTGAAATCTTCTCAAAACAAGTCTGCATCAAAAACTAAAAGCAAGTACCAAAGGCCTGATAATGGAGGTGAGTCCAACAGTCAATAAAAAACACATTAATGGAGATTCTGAAGTGCATGCTGCGATGGGTGTATTGGTGTATTGTACCTAAATGCAGTCATGTGAGGTCAGATAATGGCCAACTAGACTCCACTGGAATGGTGGCAATTTCCCCAGAAAGGTCCCCAGAGAAGAAGCATGTTTCAATTGCTGAAAGAGGCCCAGCCCTTATGAAAAACTTAGGGTTTAAGAAAGTTAGAAACTTTAGCCTTACCTTTGAATATTAAGAGATTAAGCAATCAAATCAGGCCAGATTTTTATAGATGACCATAACAGATTCAAAACTAATAAGTCTGTGATAACCACAGTAGAGTAGGGGAATAAAAACAAAGTGTGTTAGCTTACTGTTACTGTGACAAAATACCTGAGATACCCAAGTTATAAGGAGGCAATGTTTATTTTGGCTCATGGTTTTGGAAGTTTGGGTTCATGGTCCGTTGAACCTGTTGCTTTTGTGTCTGTGGTGAGGAGAACATTGGGGTGGCACAGTGAAGGAAGATGCTTACCTGATGGAGGCCAGGAAACAGGGAGGTAAGAAGGGGCTAGGATCCCAATAACCCTTCCAAGGCCATGCTTCCAATAACCTACTTACTTTGCTTCCACTAGGTCCCAAAGGTTCCACCACCTCCCAAGATGGCTACAGACTTTGAAGGGACAAAGACTTCAATACATGGGCCTTTGGAGAACATTCCAGATTCAAACTATAGCATTCCACCCTAGCCCCAAAGACTTATTTCCACCTCACAGTGCAAGATGAATTCCTTCCATCTCTAAGAGTTCTCAAAATCTGAACAGTTCCACCACTGATCAAAAATCCAAGTCCAGGGCTGGGAGCATAGCTCAGTTGGTAGAGTTCCTGCCTCTCATGCACAAGGACCTGGGTTCAATCCCCAGCACCACCAAAACAAAAACAAACAAAAAATCCAAGTCCAGAGTCTTCTCTGAGACTCAAGACAAATTCTAAGCTGTGAGCCCCCATAAGAATCAAAAGAACATATAGTTCTAGGGTACAATGGGACAGAGTAAATATTCCATTCCAATAGGGAGGAATGGGGGCACACAAAGGGAGGACTAGAACACACCAAGACTGAAACCCAGCATGGCAAACATTAAATCCCACAGTTTGATATCTACCAGGACAGTTGGTGTGATGTGAGGTCCAAAGTGCTTGGACAGCACCACCCCTTCAGCCTTACTGGCTGCAACCCACATGACCATTCTCTTAGGCTCTCTTTCCTGACAGCAGCTTCTCCTGACAGGTGTTCCATGTACCTGGCATTTATAACTCCTGGGGTCTCCATCACAACTTCAGCTTCACTCTTAAGCTTCGTGTATCTCCCTGTTAGGAATTGCTTGCAGGGATTCTGACCCTGCCACACACTGCCCAGCCTCTAAGGCTTTCCTCTGAAATCTTGGTAGAAGGCTCAGTGACCCAGGAATTCTTGCATTCTGCATGCCTGCAAAACCAGCATCATGAGGACAATGACAGCCACATCCACACTGGTTCAAACCACTGCTGCAGTGGCCTGAGTGCCTTGATGGCTAAACACAGGAAACAAATCCCAGGGAGATAATTCCCTAGGTAGCTCTGTGTGCACAGAGTGCCCCCAAGACTCTCTCCTCAAACAAAACTCTTTTCAATTCCTGAGATGCCCTGAAGGCATCTTTCTTATTGTCGAAGTGCAAAGTACTTTGCTTCTTTTTAATTATGCTGATCTCTTTAGTATCTTCCTTGTAAGCCCCTGAAATGAGCTTCTTTTCTGGCAAATTGCAGGTTTTCCTAATTTTTCCACACTGCTCCTCTTTGCTCTTGATTCTCACTGTGAATTTGGCTAAAAGCAACCAGTAGTACCTGTGCTGCTAACTGAATACTGTGTTGCTTTGAAATTTCCTCCTCCAAATAAACTAGTCTGTCACCTTTAAATTCAGCCTTACACAAAGTCTCAGGGAACAGACAAAATATAACTTGCCAGACTTTTAATCCAGATGACTGCTGGTCAAATTCCTAATAGTGTCCTTACTTATATCTGAAGCTTCATCAGCAGTCTTACTGTCTGCATTCTTGTCAGCATTCTAGCCTTCTGAGCCATCACGAGAATCACTCATTAAATTCCATTTACAGCATTTTAGGCTTTCTATCATCTGCTTCTCTAAACTTTTCTAAATTTCTCTGCAAACAAATTCCAAAGGCTTCTGAATCAAATCAGTATAGTCATAGCAATGATCCCACTTCTTGGTACCAATTTTCTGTGTTAGATTATTATTGTAACAAATAACTGAGATAATCAAGTTATAAGGTGGAAATGTTTATTTTGGCTCAGTTTTGGAGGATTCAATTCACATCAGTTGGCTTTGTTGCTTTGGGGCCTGTGGTGAAGCAGCACATCATGGTGGAAGCAAATGGTGAAAGAAAATGCTCACTTTTGTCAGCCAGGAAGCAAAGAAGGCAGGAAGGCACCAGGATCCCAGTATCTCCTCCAAGGGCATGCCCCCAGTGACCTAGCTTCTTCCTACTAGTTCTACCACTTAAAGGTTCCACTGACTTCCAGTAACACCACAAGCTCAGACCAAGCTCCAACACATGGTCTTTGGGGGTCATCCAAATCCAAACTAAGGCAGCCAGTTAGAAAGTGTTCACTGATGAATTCAAGAAGAAACCAGCTTTTATTTTATTCAATTAACAAACTTATTTATTTTGTGATGTTAGGGATGGCCTCATGCACACCAGGCAAGTGCTTTATCACTGAGCTATGCTCCTAGTCCAGAGCAAGCTTTTTAATAACTTTTCATGCTGGTATCCATTCACAAACTCCAAGTTTTAGGACCTTAAAAACATTATCATAATAAAACAAGGTTTGAGTTGCTAGAAGAGAAGGTACCATAGCAATCTGCAAAGCTGTTGTGAAAGAACAGCTTAAAAAGAATATGCAATTCTCACTGACTACAGACAAGTCCAAGTGCTGATGTTTGTATCAACCACTGGCAAGTCATTGGCAAAAAAAAAAAAGGTGTGTTTATTTTTTTTTTTTAGCCTATCATGGAACTTATAACCTAATATGGAAAAATGTTTGAGGGGGATGGCTAGAAAAAAGTATGGACCACAAGCACTCGCCAAATAAGAAAGCCAACAATCACTAAACCACATACAGTATTTATTTAAATGACATTAATTACGGTCTTTCCTCGTGCATGTCCTCTTTCCACCTTTAGGAAAGCTTCCGGAACTTGAGAAAAAGGAAAGGTTTGTTCAATAACTGGTCGAATCTGTAAAATACAAGAAGAGACTGATTGATCAGAACACCGACATCTTTCCAGGCAGGTGACATCTATACTTAGTTTCTTCACAATATCCCTCAAGGCTGGTCTTTCTCAGGTCTCTCTCCATTTTGCCAAAATGAAGCGCTCATGCCCAGCCATATCTGCTGCCTCCACTCTTGCCTCATCGCCTCTCTTTTCTCTGAAGTGACCCAGCTCCACCTTGCTCCATCTGACTTCTGCTCTATGCTGTCATGTCGCTTTTCTACTCAGGACCCTGCAACAGCCCCCAAGACAGGTATTCAAAGACCACTACTCCGGACCTCAGCCCCATGCAGATGCTATGCTTCACCAAAATGGTTTCCTTGCCATTTTCTGAACACAGTATATTGGTACCTTTGCCAGTACAAGTCAGTCAGTCCAGAAATACCTCTTCTCTGGCCCTCCCAGCTCGGATCCCACACTCCATTTCCTCATCCCCTAGCCTGCAGTGTGTTCTCCCTTTGAACTGCTCCAGGGACCAGGGGGGGCCCTTCTCAGAGCTATACTTGTTATAGCCGAGGACACATCTAGGTCACCCTGAAAGGGAAATACCAAAGGAGCCTGATGCCCCAAGCTCCTTGCTCTATTTATTCCCTGGGTCCCCTTACAGATAGTACAGACTAAGTAGAGGTTTTTTATTTTTTTAATCTGTTAATGTTTGACTATCCACTCAACCAGAGTGTAAAGAACTTATGGTATAAACCACCTCTTTTGTATTTCTCCCCAACACCTAGCATCATGCTACGCATATAGTAGGAGCTTAATAAATATCACTTAGGTGAAAACCAAAATGTGGGAAGCAGAAGTCTTATGTGAGTTCTCTGAGCTTTGGAAGAAACTGTCCCAGGCTATAGTTGCCCTGGGAAGCTCTGCTAAACAGTGGCACAGTTGGTTAGAATTTACAGGAAAGCCATTGCAGCCAGCTCACTGATGGTTAGAGTGTTGCTGGTTCTCTTCAACATACCATTACTACTGCCAGCAACCTCCTTCTGAAAGTAGGTTCCAAGTAACACCCTCCTCCCACACAAAAATGAAATTATATTCTTCCTTTTCAAAACTTTAAGCAGAAGTCAGTAATTATTCACTGCATACTTCACTGGCCTTCCTCCCATAACTCCAGCGGCAGGAATAAGCTGTCAGAGGCACAAGTCAACTCATACATTTGACAACCATTTTATTTTTACAAGAGAAGACGTGTTCTTGTGACATTCAAATGCAACCAGTGCAATCCCCCCTAGTATGACTCGTAGAACCCAGATACCCAAAAATCATCTCAAACTCCAAACATTCTCCAAAGATCTAAATCTTCTTCTGTATCCATGAATCACAATAAGCTCAAAATAAAAGCAATAGCTGGTATGTTCTGTCCTTACTACATACTAGGGACTCTTCTAAGGGCTCCCTATATTTTTACCTCATTTAAACCCATAACCACCTTCTGAGATAGGTATTACTATTATTCTCATTTTATGAAAGAAGAAATCAAGGCACAGAATTAAATAAATTGCTAAAGTCACACCTAAGTGATAAGGCAGGATTCAATCTGGTGCATCATCTTTGCTCTCACCACTACCTGCTGAAGTTTTCATTATCATCTGCAGCTTTCTACCTCTACACCTAGAAGGAAGGGAAAGGAAGCCAAGGATAATAATGACATCATAGCCTGCATCTTGACCTTTTTTACTTGTGCCAGCTGAGAATGTGGCCTCTAGATCCTTTGTCTAGGCCACCAAGATGACAGATGTGTGGTACATGTGCCAACACTTCCATCTGCTTATGGAGGACATCACTAATTGATAATTCTCCAAGGTGCTGAGCATGACTTCAAAACCTTCTTCAACACCACACCACTAAGAACTGATCTGCCCGGCATGTTAGATGAAACCTATTTGTATTCTCTGGTCAGAGGAGGGAAGTCATTCAGGTTGATTCCTGTATGTCCCATAGGAAACCTTCTGAACCTGGGATGTTGTTTTGGGGATGCTGTTTATCTGGAAAAGGAACCACCTGAATGTATGCTTAAACTCCACTGTCCTAGGTCTCCTGTTAGAAAAACAAAATCAGAATCTCTAGGGGTAGGGAAGAGGATGGTGAATTTTAAATAAGCTTCCCAGGAAATGTGTGTACACAACTACAGTGAAATTGCTGTTGCTTTCTGCCCTATTCTTAGGGTTCTGAACTTGTATCAGACATACATGCATCCATTCTGCAAATGTTGACTAAGTGCCTGCCTTCTAAGTGCTAGGACTAATGCAGAGCAGGAACACAAAAGAGGCTCCACTCCAGAATGAGCTGCCCAAGCCATCGAGCCATGTTCACTTCAGAGCTCTGCCCAGAGCCACAGAGGCTGAACTGATGACCCAGGCAGCTTGCAGTGACTGCACACTTTGATCTGGCTGGTCAGGCCCATTGTGGCAAATAACCCAGGAGGGCTGACCATGGCATAATGAGTCATTCAGCAATTCCCATAAGTGACAATGAAAAAAAAAAAGCTTTCGAATTATAGGCAGGCAAATGCCACTGTTGGCTGAATATGTGACAGCAAATGGAGATTAACTGGATAATGAGACAGTGTCTGTGCACAGCCTCACATCATATCGCGAATGCTTGTTTGTTAAGAACAAAGGGATCAGAGTTAAAATCCAGAGAGGGGAAAGAAAGGTTACTCACAGTGAAGTGGGGACATTTATGTGATGACACTGCTATAGTCCACCTGGCACAGGGAGCCCTGTTATAAAGCAGGCAGGCTCAATACCAGGCTTCCCGCCACATAGACACCCGGGGCTCACAGTCGACTGAGAGATGTCCACCGCAGAAGCCCTTGATCTGTCTTGGATCCAATTGTGGGTCTCCTGAGTATACCTTACCTTCCTTAAAGGCTGTGCCCAGACAGACTCCAAGATTTAGCACCTGCTGTCTGATATCCCTTCTACAACACAAGGACAAAGGGGCTCTCACTAAGTATGGCCTTACCAGCTGCTGGGCCAGCCTCCTATCTGAGGCAGAAACCCTCTTCACCCCTTGAAGGGAGGGTACAGGAGGACTTTTCACCACCATAAGAACGGGATTGCTGGTGGACACAGGACATAGCATAGATAGCACTAGCAGCAGGCAAGAGGGTTTCCCTCCATTCCCATTTTCCCAACAAGAAATATAAAACATCAGAACCAAAATGGATCTAAATATCTGAGCAAGTCTGTTTTGATAGATTAGGAAGCTTGATGTGTAAGTGGCTGAGCAGTACATGTGAAGTCAGAGCTGTCAGGAACAGAGCCAAAATTATGACCCAGGACCCCTGATTTCATTGTCAAATGGGATGGATGTGGTTTGGGAAGTCCTTCTGCTTACTTCTTTCTCTCATCCTTCAGCCTCATCCTCCACAAGGCAAAGAAGATGCAGATCTGAGGGTGGAGTGTGTGAGGACAGGTTGACAGGTGTCAGACACCAAGGAGGACTTGAGGGCTCCTGGTATGAGTCAAAAAATCCACACACCTGTGGATGGGCACCAGGCACAGCCCCAGCACCCCTTCTTGGACAGGTATGCCCTGACCTCTGTGATAGGCTCAGTGTCCAGGGTTGGTTGGTGTAAAGGGGAAGATGACAACTTTAATTAAGTCTCCTGAGATAAGAAGAGGACGAAAGGAAGAGGTGAGTTTTGCTCCAATTTGCTATTTCTTAGAGACTTCCTGCCCTCATATGGAAAACTCAAAGCTGCAAGATAGGTGGTAAGATAGGAGGAGATGACAGATGAGGGTGCTCATCAAGGGAGTTTTGAAAATAATCCATACTTATCCCTAGGTATTCCCCTAAGAAAAGACACTCCTTCCAGTTAGAAGGTAAGAGGAAAAACTCAGTATACATAGAAACAATTTCAGCAGCACCAGAAAAACTTCAGAAGCATCAAGGTTAAGAGATTCATGAGATACTTGCCATATCTGGCAAGCTAACCATCTTCTAATGGTTCTTAAGATTCAATCTCTAGTCATTACACTGTCCATGGAGCAAAATCCAGTTGTAACATGAAACTTAAGAGCTTAAAACACAGTCCTCTGCTAAATTAGGCCATTCAAGAAGGGCCTGGGAAATCACCTACCTCAGAACTCATTATGTTTACCTCTAAAGTGGCAGTGTTGCCAAGGGTGGTGGCGTGTGCCTGTAGTCCCAGACACTTGGGCAGGAGGCAGGAGGATTGCAAGTTAAAGGCCAGCCTCAGCAATTTATTGAGGCCCTAAGAACTAGGTAAGACCCTCTCTTAAAATAAAACATTTAAAAAAAGGGCTGGTGATATGGCTCAGTGGTTAAGTGACCTTGGTTTCAACCTTGGTACCAGAGAGAGAGAGAGAGAGAGAGTACGCACTCTTAGTCTGTCAGTGTCCCAATACAGTAGCCTCTAGACAGACATGGCTCCTTAATCACAAGTTGGGAACAGTGGCACATGCCTATAATCCCAGTGATCTGGAAGGCTTAGGAAGGAGGACTTCAAGTTCAAGATTAGTCTTGGCAACTCAGTGAGACCCTGTCTTATAAAAAATAAAAAAGGCTAGGGATGTAGCTCAGTGGTAAAGCACCCCTGAGTTCAATCCCCAGAAAGCCCCAAAAGTGAGCAAATGAAATGAAAAATTCAGTCTCTCAGCTGTACTAGCCACATTTCAGTGCTCAATAGTCACATGTGACTGGTGACTGCAGTACCAGGCAGTGCAGACAGAGAACATTTCCATCACTACAGAAAGTTCTAGTGGACAGCACTGTTCAAAGGGTAACTCTATATGGCCAACCAATCTCTCCACACCCTATTGGCTGAAGTAGAATGCTAGGGGCCCTTTGTGAATATTTTGAATTGAACTTAAATACGTTACATAGAAACTCTTCTAATACTGGCTAAAATAAAACAAAGTCTGTATCATTCCTCAACCAAGAAACTCGATTGGTCACCTAGGATTTTGAAGAGATCTGTGAACATTAAGTCATTAAGTGCATGGCATCAAAAGGCTTTAATAATTTTATGAAGAATATATATGTACAAATATATAAAGGGAAAATATATGAGGAATATATGCACAAATATAAAAAGTAAAAGGGAGCCAGGTGTGGCGTTTCCAAGTCTACTATGCGGAAGGATAAGCTGGGAAGATCACTTGAGTCCAGGAGTTCAAGACTAGCATGCGCAACATAGTGAGATAAATAAAAAGATAAAAGGGTAAAATGAAAAATATCCCCATATTTTATCCCTGGGCATCTAGTTTCCTTTCTCAGGGCAACCAATATTTCAAAATCCTTTCCTATCCTTTGGAGATATTAGTGGAAGGTGGAATGACGGTCCCCAAGAATATTCATATCCTAATTCCCCAAACCTGTGAATATGTTACCTTACATGGCAAATGGACTTTGCAGATGGGTAAGGATCCTTAAACAGGGGGATCATGGATCATTCAAGTGAGCACAACGGAATCACAGGGCCCTTGCAAGAGGAAGGCAGGAGGGTTAAGAAAGAAATATGATGACAGAAGCAGAAGCAGAGGTCAGACTGACATAGCTATAAGTAAAGGAATGCAGGGGCAGCCCCCAGAAGCTGGGGAAGGAAAGGAAACAGCTTCTCCCCTCTGGCCCACCTGCAGGAAGAATGCAGTGCTTCTGACCCACTGACTTCTGGCCTTCAGAACTGTAATATAATAAGTTTGTGTTCTTTTAAACAACCATGTTTGTGGTAATTTGTTATAGCAATAGGAAAGCAATAAGCAAATATGTATAAATATTTTCCCTCAAAACACAGTCGTTCTTATCAGGAGCAGACTATGGTCTCATGAATCCGTCTCGTCACCTCTTCAAAGTCCTGAAGGATACTGAGAAACATAAGAAGATATAATAAAACACCATAAATTCAAACTCCACCTGTGTAACATTTGGATGATTATGTACACAAGCAGAAAACACTGAAGCTATATGAGGGATTTATTATTTAATGTTATCACTAATTTTTTTTTGCTTTTTGTAGTTTTGTAGAAGAACAGCATGCCTTTATTTTATTTTATTTTAGCTAGTGCTACTGAGAGAAGGCAAAGTCACAGCTGGTGTTTACAATAGTGTGAGGGTGATGCTGTTGTGAACAGAGAGGTGCTCATTATTATGGGCATTAATTCTGTGCTTTCTCCATTTTTACTGGGGCACACAGAGCTAACAAGAATCTTCCATAATACTTGTTAATCCAGATACTTTTTTTTGGTGCCAGGAATTAAGCTTCGGGGCACTTGACTACTGAGTCACATCCCCAGCCTTATTTTGTATTTTATTTAGAGACAGAGTCTCACTAAGTTGCTTAGCACCTCACTTTTGCTGAGGCTCGCTTTGAACTCAAAATCCTCCTGCCTCAGCCTCCCGAGCCACTGGGATTACAGGTGTGTGCCATCACACCAGCTCAGATACTATTTTTTAATCAGGACAGTTTAAGTCATAAGTGACCAGTGCCATATTGTATTTATATTTCCAAAAACAATTCTCTTATGAAATAAAACCAGCAAGAGGGCAACAGGTAAATAAAGAGAAAAGGAGTCTGGAAGGTAGGCCTCATGGAAAATTCCAGACACTAAATATAAAAACTAGATTTTCAAAACTGGTTATTGTAATACCTATTAAATTATAAATGCATATGCTTTTTTGACTCAACAATTCCATTTTCATAAATAGAAATGGACATACTCACAATTAGGTAATTAACATAAATACTGGATTGGCCACTGAAGCATTATCTGCAAAAAGACTGGAATGATATTGATAATACACCTGTATAAAGGAATACTATGTGGCTGTTTATAAAATAAAGAATGAAGAAAGTATTTATATTCTAACACAAAACAAAGTTCAAAATAGGTTGTTAAAATGTTGCAGAACAACATGTTATCTATTCGTGTTTGAAAGGGGGAGAGGAATTTTCCTGTTGGAGTCAGAATATCTTTGGAATACACAAGAAATGTGACACTGATTGTGTGTGACATACAGAATCTCAGTGACTGATGGACAGGAGTCAAAGGATGATTACTTGAAATAAGTTTTCCTATTTCTTGGATTTTGAATCTTGGAAAAGTATTTTATCTAAAAATGTAAACATATTTTAAAATAGTTGGCTCTGTGGTTTCGTGACTTTACACTATCAAAAAAGAAATACTGCTCCTCTATCAGATACCTGCTAATTAGACTCATTAAGCACCCAGCCAAAGTTTGAAGAACTTAAATGTCTTTGTCCAGTAGAGTAAATATCTACTAACTGCACATATGTAAAATCTGCTTTGTTATTTTTCCCAATTTCCCAGGGTAGACAAACAATGATTTCTCACAACCACAGAGAAGTAGGAATGCAAAAGGATGGCCAACCTTTCATGGCATCCGGCGTCACCTCTCAACTTGCACAGTCCCAGAGTCCTTCACTGTCAGAAACAACTCCCAAACCCAACAGCCTGTGGGTAGGAGAGTGCAGAATCGAAGGCAAGAGGAATATCTACTTGGCCACCATCATTTAAGGATATTTCAAGGACATCTTTTTCTATCATGTACTCTTTCAGCCATTCTACCAGTTATCTGCCAAACTTAATAGGTAGATATATACAAGCCACCTCTCATCTTTGTTGGGTAAACAGTAATTTCCAGGTAGAGAGAGTCACAATATTTTGAACACAAAAGAGCAATGGTAAGCATGTGGACAGTTTGGAGCAGATATTAGGACAGGCACAATCACATGATGGACTTCTGGAAGATAGAGACCTCTCTAATAATGGGCTCAGTCACACGAAGCACTTATTTATTTGATGATAGTTCATTTCTTTCTTCCTAGAAACAAAATAAACATCCCCATGGGATGTGAGAGACCCCTACAAAGAGGAACTTACACAATCACAATAATGCTGAGCCCCTGTTTCTATTCAGCACACATGAAAACCTAGATATCCACGAAAAGGCAGGGGAAGCAAGAGATTTCTAAGTAGGGGTGTCACTCCTCAGGAGGGTTTTCCAAGCGTGAGAGTGAAAATCATGTGATGGCAATGCTGGCCCTGCTCCAACCCCTTTCTCTGCCACTGTAAAATGATTAGGACAAGACAATGTAAACCCAGTAGAAACCAGTCCCAAGCACTGAGAAGGTAGTTGAATTGGTGGGGAGAAAGCACTGAGTTCTGCTCCCACTTAGCAAGCTGAGCATATCCCTTTTTCTCCTGAGCTAGTATTCTTATCTAATACCAGGTAAAATGAGAATCACTATAGTTATGATCTCATGCAACCCTCTTAGGTATACAAGGTTCTCCATCCTATAATTCCATACAATCTCTCAATAAAATCACAAATATCAGCACCAGAATATGAGTCTATTTTCTGGGTTATTCTTCCAGTGATGGAAAGTTAGGGCAGTTAAGGCTGTGAAAGAGCCCAAATGAGGAGGTGTCAGCTTAGGAAACTTTCAGTTACCAAGATCTCTGCAAGGGATAACCAGCCTCAAAGCACCAGTCCCTTTCCACAAAGGAGACACTAGTAGCCTGAGAATACTAGTTGTCTACAACCCAACCCTCGTCAATCCTTACCTGTGTCCTGGCCATTGACCTCAGACATACTATTTATTTGCTCTGGACTTTATTATAGTAATTTGGGAATCAGAAGACTGGGAGATCTAATTCTCATCCAGCTGTGCTGGGACTGAGATTCCCCTTCTCATCTGGAAAGTGGCTTACCTACCCTCAGACTAAGTCAGCTCCATGAGCAGTTCTACTGAACTCACAGATGTGTTCTCACCTTTGTACAGGTATGGTCATCCCAAAGTGCCATGTTTTCAGGACTACTTAAAAACAAACAAACAAAAAAAAAAAAAAAACCATCCACTGTAAATCCCAACTCTGCCACTATCTAACCAAGAGCCTTCAGGAAAATTATGTAACCTCCATAAGTCTGTCTCTTTGTCTGCAAGCCAAGGAGGGTGAACTAGATAGGTAAACTCTTTTCCAGACTGAACAGTCTACATCTGTGATTTCCAGGATGATAGAGACAAAGATACAAACTTGGCTATGTAAGGCACTGTAAGTCCCGGCCAAGCCTACCTCTGAAGAATTCCATTGATGAGACTTGGTGGGCAGGTCTCCCAGAAATGCTCCACCAATACAAAAGTTTCCAAATAAAAGGTTTACTGATGCACCTACCTTTCCTGCATCCACAAGTTCTGCAATTTCATCTAGACATGGACCGCTGGGCATGAAAAAGGCCCAGCGATAATGGACTCCTTGCCAGAAATGCTAAAAAGGAAAAAAAGATGTCAAGTATAGAAAAGGACAAAATCTGACTAAATGCAAATTCAGGTAAAGACATTTTCTGGATGTAAAAGACAAACCAATTTCCCATTTCTTGCTGACACATGAGCTATATATGCCTAGTACCTTAGCACAGTGACTGACAGAGAACAAATGCTCCAAAATGTTTAAGAAATAAATGAACAGAGATGTCCATGTCAACCTAGGCTTCTCTAAGCTGTGACTGATGAACAAGTAAGCACAGGAAAGCATTCCTTAAATGACAGTCTAAATAGTCTTTGACAGTGGATTGCTTCTCAAAGGAGAATTAGGGGCTGGGACTTCTACGCTTTCTCTAATAAGGTTTGAAAAGATCTCTGAAGTACCAGAAGAGATTTTTACCAAATTCAATAATGCTCTAGGGGCAATGAATTACAAAAATATGATCTTAGACAAAAAGCCCAATTTTCATTCTTTTTTTCCTGGCTCTGACAAGAACTCGGCAGTTTTAAAGGCAAAACAAAATGTAAAGTTCCATATACACCACGGCTGGATTTTCCCTACAGTTACGGCAAATACCAAGCCATCCCATCTGTTATGAGACAAGATGAGCAAAAATTTTACACTGAGAAGGTTCAAAGTTACTGCCATGACCACTTGTAACTGTTACTCTTTATGTCAGAGGTAGGTGGTCCATTACCAATACAGAAGTAAACAGAGGTTCTCTATGATATCTCAACCACCCGTCCAACTAAACTGCTGAGGGAGTGGGGGTCAGTCAGTACTATGCTGCTGCCCTCCTTGCATTGACCTGCAACGGTTAGGCAAGCTTGGACTTCTATTTCACTGAGCTCACTCTCAGCCTGACATTCCTGCAGCATGGCATAAATCACCACAGCATGAGGCTGTGCGATGGAACTCCTTGCTTCCCTAGATCAGCTACTACTGTTATTTCAGTCAAGCTACCTCTTTCAGTCAGTTTCCTGGCCTATAGAACATCAGTACCATGACCACCTAGCTGACAGGGTTGTAGGAAAGATAAAATAAGAATGTATATAAAATGGGGCTGGGGTTGTAGCTCAATCGTAGAGCACCTGCCTAGCATGTGTGAGGCACTGGGTTTGATTCTAAGCACACATATAAATAAATGAATAAAATAAAGGTCCATTAACATCTAAATTTTTTTAAAAAAGGATGCATATAAAATGCCTGACACATAAAAGGTATTCAATAAATATTTGTTCAGTACTGAAAGTAAAGACTGGGACAATACCAAGTCAGAGTTTAAGAATGTAGGAAGAAAAAAATAAAAACTAAACTAAGCTGCTGCCTAGGCAGAGCTTCCCACCTAGTGTGCTGGCAGTGGCTTACCAGTTGAGTGACTACATAGTTTATCATCCAATCTGGAAAAGTTGTGAGTGAAGAGTCACCAAAATGTCTACCCCAGGACAACAGGTAGGAAGAGTCAAGCTTACTCTATAATAGGTGTGATGAGATACAGACTCCTGTTAATCCTCAGGGTAACATGACAGAGCCTGGGCTAGTAGAAGTCTCTAGGTAGGTGGCTTTTAACACAGAGCAGCCTCAATATGTTGTTAAAATGCTATCATTTTCTGTGTGCTGTGACATGAGAGACGCTGGGGAACAGCCTCTGAATACTTAATGTGGCTAGATAGCAGAAGCAATGCAAATGGCCCAAGCTGACAGTGGGCCCAGTTTAATGACAACCTCAGGAGACGTATTCAAGTACTTCGCCCTAAGATCTGGCCTCATGGGCTATAATTAAAATATTCTGGTAATTGTTTAGGATATTAAATAAGGAACAGAAATGGTCATAACTACCACATCTATAATTCTTTACAAGCATGTTACTCTGCAAAGTGAAACTTGGCCTGTAATAGCCAAATTTTTATATTCTGTTAAAAGGGTTGTGTATTTTTTCCCAGGCCATTACAGGACAGAAAGTAAAGCAGGTAGGAGAGCTGGAAGATGACAGTGAGGCTTTGTGCACAGTCTCAGAAAGACAGTGGAAACTGTTGGATACAAACTGCTTGGCATGACCATTATTGTCTTTCAAGCAGGTGGAAAGTAGAAAACAAAGGAACCAATACCTGCTTTACTCTCTGAGGACAACTCTGAATGTTAACTTGTGAGAGAGGTCTCTCTGGAGTACAAACTGGGAAATCTTACAGAAAACTTGTACTTTAAAGTACTGGAAAGTCTAGGCTTTGTGAAAAGAGAAAGAGGAGATAAATGACAGTTAAGATTCCTTTCTACAAAGTATCCTGAGGCATTGTTTCTGGCTGCAGTCTGAATCAAGCCAAAATGGAGGACACCAGAAAGCAGAGCTTGGATTGCTCATCTCTGTGACCCATACATATTTCATATGAATTGTTTTATGGTCTGCTCTATCATAACTAGCTTTTCAATACTACTTCTAAATACTTAGTTCATTTACAGAATTCAAGAAACCAAAGTTCTAAATTTTACCCGCTAAAAAGCTAAACTATTTCCTAGTATGAAGAAGCTACTAAAGGGCTGGGGGAAACTTCAATGGTGGGAGGACCACCTTTTTTCTGAGTCTGAAGTATTCTGTCTAATTAAAAGAGTAGAATTTATCTTTATTTTTTCTATCATGTGTTCTATTTCAACACTAATTCAATGATCTGTAATTATCAAAATTTCATAATCTGAAATCGCATAAGCCTTTGTCCCAATTGTGATGACAATAGGCTACGATGTCAATCTGTGCCATTACTAAGGCTGATATATGCTAATCTCCCACTCATCAGGTACCTTCAGTGTGAGTGATATAACTCCAAACAGCCCTGGTAACAGTGGCTTATCAATGGTCAGTCTGACTGAGTACCAGAAACTTTCATAATGTCAACATTAGGGAGAATTTCATATTCACAGGGATACGCAGTGTTAGAACAAATTGCCATAATCCCAGCAAAAGCATGATCATTCCATTGGCCTTTGTAGCCTCACTGAAATAAGAGCATAATTTCCTTCAGGTTTCTGAAATTCAACAAAAAGCCTCTAAGACCTCTAAAGGTCAGAAGGCTAGGAATCAGGGATATATCCCAACAGCAGCCATATGCCGTTTTAATGAAGTTTCCACCTTTACATATAAGAGGATATATGTGTTAATGCTGGTGAAATGGAGAGGGCTATCAGGTACAGGCAGGAAGGAAGCGGATGGTGTATCCAATGAAATCAAGAAAGGTAATAACATCTAATAACAAGGCTAACATTTAATAAGAGCTTTTTATATATTAGGCATTATGCCACATTCTTCACATGGATTATCTCATCTAATCCTCACAACAATGCAGGAAGGCAGAAGAATCATTAGCCTCATTTTACAGGTGAAGATATTGGACTTAAAAATATTAAGTAACTTGTACAGGGTGGCACAGCCACGAGGTAAGGTCAGAATTTCAAACTAGTCAGTGTGACTCCAGAGTCCATGCTGGCAGTCTCTTCGCTATGCTGTCACCAAGAGAAGAGAGGGCCAGGTGACAAACCAATTTCTAGTCGCCTGAGGTTTCTGCTTGCTCTCACCGAGACTCTCTTTCCTACCTTTAATGTCTTGGTGCCCACAGTGACTCCTGTCTGCAGCATGCCATCTGCTATGCCCAGTTGGTCCATGTTCATGAGGAAAGGAGTCACCAAAGTCACATAGGTGGCTCCTGACCATTTCTTGAGAAAATTGAGAGCCCACATTTCAGTAGATCCACCGACATTATCAAGGATAAAATCAAACCTGGTGGGGAAAAAGTCAAATCAAAACATCCTTGTCAGTCTTCACTCTAGGCTCTGATCCCCTTCACTCGCATCACAAGTTGGCTACAGGGTTTTTCTCAGAGACAGTTCACAAACCATGCTGCACTGTGCCACTAGCCCAGGATGGCTCCTTTGACAGAAAGGACAAAGCCACTCCCTGAATTGATGACTTGTCTCCAAAGTAAAACTGAATTGACTAACCTTCTTTTGTCATCAAAATCATATCATTTTTTAATAAAGAATGACCTAAGTGTTTCTGAACCAGGAGTGATTTTGCTTCCTACAATGCACTCAATAGACCGCACACCAAAAATTATCAATTAAACATCAATAGTTGAGGAACTTAGTGATAAATGTTGAGGAACCCTGATCTAAGCTTTGTAAAAAACCACAAAGCAATCCATTCAGTATAAGTCAAAGTATTCTTTTTTGTTTGTTTGTTTGGTTTTTGGTGACACTGGGGAATTGAATCCAGGGCCTCACGAGTGTGAGGCAAGCATTCTACCAGTGATCTACATCCCCAGCCCAAAGTATTCTTTAGTGCACACAAGTACTTGAAAGAAAAGTATGCAAGGGTCTCATCTATAAGAACAATTTGATTTTATTCTTGCCATCTTCAGAAACACTTGTAGAAGCATCCTCTTTACCTTCTGGAATTTTGGTTTTATGTATAGCATCAAGGGGATGCATAAATCTCAACAGCCTTTCTTGTCTTCAATTCTGTTCTAACATGTCAAAAAAAAAATCATCATACTGGAATCCAAAGAACTGACAGATATTCAAATGCTTAAATCTAACCTAAAACTGCTATAATCCCTAAACTCTACTTAAAAGGGATAAAAACCCACTAAAGCTTTTAAATACTTTTGAAAATAAAGATCTATTTAGAGAATGCATGTGTATAAATTAAGTAAATCAATTGATGAATTCCTCTTGGATAAATCTTTTTTCACTTCCCAATTCGTTTGGATAAAGTTAAACATCAAAGGTTCTAAAACCACCTTTGGCCAACTTTGAGACTTTTGAGTCTTTCAAGGGATTAAAGAAAGACGAATAAAAATTAACCGATATAAAATGTACAATGACCTTACCAGATGATCATTCTTCTCATAAGAAAAGTTTCTACTTTGTTCCAAACTTTTGATTAAATAAATATATGAGACTATCAAAAGAAAATGTAAGGGCAGTCTGATATTATAGAACAAGCACTGTCTGAAAAGGAGTTATGGAGGCCAAGTTGTAGACCCACCTCTCTCACTTAGGATTCACAGCATGACTTTGAACATGCAAAAAAATTATCAATCCTCTGTCCCTCATTTTCTCAACTGCATGATAGGGGTAAACTGAAGGACTTCAAAGCCTCTTCTTGCTATAAAACTCTAAGAAGCTGCTAATTAGAAGGAAGAACAAATTACTACAGGTAAATTCAGAGTTGAAATTCTCAGGCAGAAGTTATAAAGATCAATTTAACTTAAGCTGGAGGAGCAGGAGGAAGGGGGAGAGGAAGAGGGAAGAGAGAGGAGAAGAGGAGGAGTAGGAGGAAGAAAAGAAGTAGTAGTAGTCCTAGTAATGGCCCGCATTTATAAGACAGTGAGGTTCCTCTACTGAAAAAGCACAAGCAAAAGGGACATGGCCACTTGTCAGAGATACTGAGGATGGAACTGGAGCATCAGGCTGGGGGGCTAGATTGAGTGTCCTCCAGCCTTCCATCAACCAGGTTCTCTGGAAACAAATTCCAGACATGTCTAACACCTACAGCAGATAGTGGGGAACGAGTTGGCCGTGGCCTCAGGGCCATGCTGCTCCTTCTAGCAGTGGCAAATAGGAGGTAACCTAAACTATCACTATCCAGAAGCCCAGTTTCGGAGACCTGTCACATTCTCACCTCCTAGTAGCCCACATAGGCTTAGACTTTGACACTCAGGAGGGTAGCTGTGAGTCCTCAACCATGCCACACATGCTTACTATGCAAGAGCTTACTATCTGCTCTTATCTCTAGTTGGAACAACTGTTCTTCTATATTCCCTCAATAATTAATTTTTTAAAAATTACAAAGGGGCTGGGGTTGTGGCTGCGTTGTAGAGCACTTGCTTCGCACGTATGAGGTACTGGGTTTGATCCTCAGCACCACATAAAAATAAATAAATAAACATATTGTGTCCATCTACAACTAAAAAATATATTTAAAAAAATATTATGAAGCACCTATTATGTGTTACTGCACTATAGTTCCAGGTAGAGGGAGATAGCAGCAAGTAGCACCAAAAAAAGAAAAAAGAAAGAAAGAAAAAGAAAAAAAAAATCCCAGTACCATGGCTTGTTCACTGAAGCCTCTGTCTAACTGTTGCTTCCTCAAAGAGGCATTCTTCAACCACTCCACCTATGCCAACCTCCTCTCCAATCACTGACCCTCCCCTTTCCCTGCATCAATTCTCCTCTGAGTGCTAATGACCAAAACCTTCCCAAACAGAATGTAAGCTCTATGAAGGGAGGAAAGTGTCTTGTTCACCACTGTACCCAGTGTTTAGAACAGTGCCTGGCAAGTATAGATTCATAAAGAGCAAAAGGAGTAACAGTGTGCTGTCTGCTCCCAGTAGCAGTGCCATATTGCTGTTGGAGCTGGAGGTATTGGCTGAGAAAGGTTAGGCCGTGTCAGATAGAGTCCCTTTTCCTTTCTTTTCTTTTTTTAATCTATGAAAATATACTTCTATTCAATGTGTACAAGAATAATTGGCTTCTGGAAACTAGTTTTTAAAAAGGAGATGCCTTTGAAATAGCAGCAGTAAAATTCTCCTATTAGCTTTCCAAATACTCCTAGTTGTACTATCAGCTTCAGCTTTGCCTGGGCTAATGAGGATCAGGTTAATAAACTGGAGCTATAGTCAGAGCAATAGGGCTTGTGTCCTGAATCTGCCCTGTTTGGTCCCTCAGGCTAGACCAAACCTGGCATTCAGACACATTGAGGGCATCCACAGTGCTCCATTACCAGTATTGCTCTCACAACCTTATTGAATGCTTAAAGTGTATGTAGTGCTAAGCATGTGTTTTTGAGTACTACTTTATATTCTTCCTGCAGTAACAGATGCCAGAGAAGGGAACACACTTCCAATTTTGCCTTCAGCTCTCTTGTAAACCAGCAATAAAAGTACATTAACTTGAAAATTAGCAAAAGGCTATGTAAGCAAAATAACTTCCTCAGTACACATCACATCATGTCACTGTGCTCTGGAATTAAAATGGAACCCATCCAAATGACGTCTAATGATGTAGAATGTTTTCAGATTCTTCTCGAAGATTCCAATACGATTGTGAGGCCATCAAACAACCTGAGACCTGTATTATCAGCGGGCCTTATGCCCACCTTCCCAATGGGAACATTGCTGTAATACATACAGTTTTAAGGATTTCAACTGTTCTTCCACGCTTCCAGATTTGTAATCAATTACATCATCTGCCCCAAGCTTCCTCACAAGTTCACTGGCATCTTGAGAGCAAACTGCTGTCACATGAGCATTCCATGCTTTCATTACCTGCCAAAGGGAGTGGAAAAATGGACTGCATTAAAAAAAAAAAGTTGGCACCATGTGTACATATATCACACTAATCTCTAGGGAACTTTAAGAACTTCAACTTAACAAGAACTATAGGAAGTCATCTGTCAAATATTAGTGAAAATGATTTAACTTTTGTTTACTAAGAAAAATCCCAAGAAAGAGATCTCATTTAAACAAAACAGCTAGTCACCTTGATGGCATAAAGTTTTACCCATCCACCTGGAGAAGAGCTCAGTGTCTCACCAAGATCAGGAAAGACAGAGATGAGAGCCTAAAAATTTGCATTTTCAATGATAAAGTTAAATGGTTGAAATGAAAAATTGCATGTCCTCAGAAAATGACTACTTTAAATGTGTTCAGAAAATTAATGTACAACACCTCTTCATTTGCATTTACAAAAAGTATTAATGCAGTCTTAAATCAGTGTATCAAAGTAATCAGCTATCAGATGCTTGGCAAAATCTGAAAAGGTACTGTTAAGGGGAAAGAAAACATGGCTATTTTATATTTAAAACACAGATCAGGGATCTCCTCTGGAGTAGGAAGACCTAAATAAATGTGTCCAGGCTTTAAAAATGCAGATGACTTAATTTTTAAAATAAGGAATAACTAGATTTTAATAAAAAAGAAAGTTAAATTCTAATGTTATTCAGGATTAAGTATCCAGAAAGCATCTACTCTAAAACTCCTCTAATTATTTTCTATAGTATCATATAATTATGTTTTTAATTTGAGAATGGTTACTTGAAGTTCACCAAGAAATTTGTGTGCTGATAGTTGCAGATCATAACAGATCAGCTGTTTTCTCAACTTTGTCCTGAGTATCAATTTCCTGAGTTTCCTTCAGACAAATTGCTAAGGGTCACTAGAATATAAGAGAATTGTGTTTTGTTAACTGTGAATCTCCACTCCAGGGGACCCAAAGGTCAGGGCACCCAAAAGTACTAACTAAACATTTGTTAAATACAAAAAATGCCTATTAAATACAAAAAAAAAGGGGAGGAAGGAGGGTGGGGGAGAAGGTGGGAAGGAGGGAGGAAGGGAGGAGCAGAGGTAAGGGAGAGAGGAAAAGAGAAAAGAAAAGAAACTGGAATACCAGCAAGCATTCTAAAAGTTCTTTTAAAGTGACCTTTCCCAATATAAACCACTACCTCATCTGCCTCTCTCAAAAGTTATGACCTTGATTTTAACAGTAATCACTCCTTGCATTTTAAAAAAGGTTTCGCAACCAAATATGCATTTCCTAGTTGCTATAGTTTAGTCTTGTGCATTTTTAAAATGTGATGCCTTTTAAATCTCTCTTAAATTACAGGCTTATCTTCTATCCCTTTGATTTCTTACATTTTATCTATAGAAAAATCCAGGCCATCTGACTTGCAGAGTTTGCCACTGGAATTTCTGACTGTACGCTCAGAGGGCAGTTCTGCATGTTGCTCTGTCTTCTGTATTTTTTGCTACTTGGCAGATGGATTTGGAGACTGGATCAGATTCAGTTTCAAACCATGGAAAGTGTCTGGCAAAACTACACAAGGCACATCATGTCTGGTTGTTACTCTTTTTATAATCTCAGCAGTTATCAATGCTCAATATCTACATCTGTTTATTAGTGACTGCAAAACAGTGTGGTTCAAATTCTTTTCTTTTCACTTAGTAGTTGGAATATTTCACAGACAAACACCTCCCCTCATATGCTACTGGGTTTACTCAGCTGTACAGTTCATATAGAAGAGGCAGAACAAATGCTTAATTATTTCTCCTTATTTTTCTGTTTATAATAAATTGCTTCTTTATCATCTTCTAAATGTGACCATTTAAAAGAAATATTATCATAATCTCATGAATTTAATTATTATTATTATTATTATTATTTAAAGCTCAAATTGTCACATCTTTGGGGATTTCTTCAAGTTGTTAACTCATTCATCTGAGGTGATCAGACTAGTCTTTGATAGTTTCCTTGCTATTTAATATATTCTGGGCTTATTCTTGTACATTTGTGCCCTAGATCTGAACTCTGCCGTTTCTCCAAGAAGCCCTAATTCCTTTAATGAGAAATGATATTTCAAGAGATGGCTTTACATACAAACGCACATAAACTACCTCCTGGATTCATATTAAAACTTATAATTCAAATTTGAGACTACAAAGCTTTTATTTAACCTCTTTTCTGTTACATTTGTATCTCCTTTCTTTTATATCTCCTTTGAGAATTCTGCTTCTCAAAGACAACAGGGGATGAGAGAGAATTAAATTTTAAAAATATTAAAATATACCCTAAATATCTATTTTTTAATTGTATATTACACAAATAACAGTACTGAATAATAATACTAATAATTTTAACATGTTCTTCTTATTTTCCCCTTTTAAAAAAATAGTTGCACTATATTTGCTTTTCAAAGCACACAGTTGTAACACACACTATACTCTCACTTTCCAAGCCCCCATTTAGTTTTGTTTCACAGATGACTCTACATTTAACATTTGCCACTAGTCCTTAAAGTGTTTCTCTCATCATTTGCTATCAGAAGCTCATTCTCTAGCATGTTCCTCAGAAAGGGATCAGAAGAACAGTATTTTCCAAGTCGATGCATGTTGAATGTGTCCTTTTTACCCTGAAGGCCCGTATTGTTGTGTACAAAATGCTTGTTCTGCTTTTCTTGGAGTATCTTACATATGTTACTTCATTTAAAAAAAAAACATTTAAAGTATTACTATCAAAAAGTCTGGTAATACAATAGCTAAACTGTGGAAACAGCCTATATGCCCTTCAATAGATGAATAGATAAAGAAACTGTAGTATATATACACAATGGAATACTACTAGCCTTAAAAAATAATGCAATTATGGCATTTACAGGTAAATGGATGGAATTAGAGAATATCATGCTATGCAAAGTAAGCCAGTCCCCAAAAACCAAAGGCCAAATGTCTTCTCTGATAAGTGGATGTGACCCATAATGGATAAGAGGCAAAGGAAGAAGGGAGGAACTTTGGATTGAGTAGAGGGGAGGGAGGAGAGGTGTGAGGAGGAGTGTAGGGGGGGAGATGGTAGAATGATATGGACATTATTGCCCCTATGTATGAATGCACGAAGGGTGTGACTCTACATCATGTTCAACCAGAGAAATAAAACGCTGTGCTCCATTCGAGTAAAATAATAAAATAAAAAATATTTAAATAAAAAAAAAAGTCTGGTGATAGGGCCTGGGGATATAACTCGGTGGTACAGCACTTGCCTCTCATACGAGAGGCACTGGGTTAGACCCTCAGAACAGCAAGAAAAAAAGAAAAAGGAAAAGGAAAAGGAAAAAAAAAACCAGAGCTGGTGAAAACTCTAAGAGCTGGGGCCTCATGGACGGTTTCAAGTCACTGGGGATGTGGTCTTGAAGGGGATCATGAGACCCAGGTCCCTTCCTCTTCCTTTCTTCCTTTTTCATGTCTTAGCCTTGAGGAAAAGTTTTACTACATGCTGCCACCATGATGTGCTGCTTCACCACAGGATCAAAAGCAACAGGGCAAGTCAATTAGGAATAAAACCTCTAAAACTTGAGCCAAAATAAACTTTTTCTGTGAAACTTTATTGTCTCAGATATATGTTAACAGAAAGCTGATGAATACAGGGTCAAATTTCTCTACATCCTTGCCAATATTTATTATTTTGTTTTTGTTTTAATTACAACTATTCTAGTATTAGAATGGTTTTAATCTATATTTCCCTCATGACTAATGATATTGAACATCTTTCCATGGGCTTATAGACCATTTAAATATATTCTTTCAAAAATTTCAAATTTTTTTCTATATTTTAAATTGGGTTGTTTGTATTCTTTTTTTTTTTTTTTTTTTATTTTTTAGTTCTCGGCGGACACAACATCTTTGTTTGTATGTGGTGCTGAGGATCGAACCCGGGCCGCACGCATGCCAGGTGAGCGCGCTACCACTTGAGCCACATCCCCAGCCCTGTTTGTATTCTTTTTATTTTAAAGTTTTTAAATATAGTCTAGATAGTAAACCTTTACCAGATCAATGATTTGCAAATATTTTCTACAATTCTGTGGACTGCTTTTTCCCTTGCTTAGTGCCCTTTGATGTACCATAGTTTTAATTTAATTAAGTTCAATTTGCCCATTTTTTCCTTCTATTGCCTGTGCTTTCAGTGTCATATCTAAGAATCTTTTGCCAAATCTAAGGAGCTGGGTATTTACTACTGTTTTCTTTTAAGAGTTTTGTGGAATTAGCTCTTTTATTTAGCTCTTTTATCTACTTTTTTATTTTTATTTTTGTATAGATGACATACGGTAGGGTATGTGGATAGCTATTTGTCCCAGCAGTATTTATGAAAAGACTATTTTTACCTTTGACAAGATCTTCAACCTTGTCAAAAATCAAGTTGGGTGAGATACTGCAGGCTTGCAATCCCAGTGACTTAGGAGGCTGAGGCAGGGGGATCACAAATTCAAGGCAAACCTGGGTAATTAACAAGACCTTGTCTCAAAGACAAAATATAAAAGGCTAGGGATATAGCTCAGTGGTAGAGTTCCCTGGATTCAATCCCAGTACCAGTACCCCCCACCCCCCAAAAAAATTGTCTAAAATGTATAGGTTTGGTTTTGGATGCTTGATTCTATTTCATTGACCTGTTTGTCTCTTCTTATGCTAATACCACATGTTTTGATTACTGTGGCTATGTAGTAAGTTTGAAGTTGGGAACTATGAGTGTTCTTTGTTCTTTTCCAGTATTGTTTGGCATTTCAGGTCCCTTACAATTCCATATGCATTTCAGAATAGGGTTGTCCATTTATGCAAGAAAAACAGATGGTATTTTGATTGGTATTGCATTGAATAAGTGGATCACTTAGAGAGAGTGTTGACATCTTAACAGTATTTTGGCTACCATGTTTCTATCTATTTTTAGAATTAGCTCATCAATTTCTACAAAAAAGCCTGCAGAAATTTGACTGGAAATCAGCCTTGGTTTTGGGCATTGGCTATTTCCTACTAAATTGCAAATTTCTACAAAAAAGCCTGCAGAAATTTGACTGGAAATCAGCCTTGGTTTTGGGCATTGGCTATTTCCTACTAAATTGCATGGTCTTCCTTGATAAAAATTCTTTATTTATTCTATAAGATAACCACCCACTCACTCAGTTTAAACCTGTGGACAAGTTAACACTTTCTACCATATTAGAACATTTTCCTCTTAGAAAAGCAAGTGAAATTACAGTAAATTTACCAAACCTACCTTTTTCTTGCCTTTTAAGGGGAAAGTAATTTTTTAATGTGAATTTATAAATTTATAAATTCACATAAACAAAATTTTCCTATTCACAATATTTAAAAATTGTTTTACCTGGATTGCAAAAGTACCAACTCCACCTGAAGCTCCCAAGATTAAAACACTGTAAAGCAAAAAAGAAGCCACAACTGAGAATCTTTAGTAGATACAACTGGATAAATCAATATTTTCAAAATGTAATTGGCTCAATGACAATCCTCAAGGCAAATAAAGTTAGTTAGCTTCCCAAGATTACAAAAGGATTTTTATTTTATATTAACCAGAAGCTGTATATGATCAAAACAGTTTATGAACTTTTTATCAAGAATTCCAAATATCAAAAATATTAATAATTTTTTTAGGTTAAGAGAAAAGTAAGTTACCATTGCCTTACAATTTTTCTTGGCCCAAATCACCATAGTTTCCTCTACAAGAGGGAGATTTGGGCACTTTTTAGTGTTTAGACTTAGCTGCTTTGGAAAAAAAAAAAATCACATTGCTAACCACATTCTTGCCAAAGTAGAATAAACATCTTGTGTTCAGACATGTCCTGCCAAGCTCATGAACTGTCATAAACAAAAATAATCTCATTCGTCCTGTTAAAGCAGATGAACATGTCCTATCAGTACAATCACCCTGTGCTCCAGGCTTTTACCATGTCTACTCACTATAGCTGTAGCCTCCCTGCCTCCTGAGACCAGGGATGCTTACTCAAGTTTATAAATGAGTGGGGGGATATAGGAGAAGGGTGAGATACTGATCCCTTTAAAACTGCGAATCTCCTAAAATAACTCTGAAAACTTGGTGCACAGATGTATTGGCAAGGAGGGGGATCTACACCTATCTCTATTTCTCAAAGAAGTTTGTGATCTATAAAAGAATCAATGGTTAAAAATCACTGCTTTACATATGCTTCTATTTTACTCTTGAATTAAGCTACAGTTTCACAGAATTGCCCTTGAACTGTAAGGCTTCAGATGCCCAGAAAATAGTATTTACTGAACTATACTTTGGTGATATGCTACCAATGGAGGCTGAGGTACATTATAAAATTGACTGCATGGTATTTGACACTATATTAGCTAAGGGGATATTGTTGAGAAAATTCTTCATGAGAATTCTGAGTACCCACAGAAAAGTATTTTTCTGAAGACTGATGGAAATATCTGTACTATTTATCTGTCACTATACATTGTACAACTGTTAGTTGTAGTTCCCTTTTGTCTTGGCTATTACAAAGTACAAAGAATTTTGCCACCTATCTCTAGCAAGTACATTAATCTTGGAATATGCATGCTGTCTACAATCTCAACTGTAGCTTCATTTCATTTTTTTTCTTTCTTACCCAATCATAGAAAGATGAGTATTACCCTTTATATCTTAAAAGTTACTACTAAAATTTCTAAGCCAGCCATTTCCTTTGAAATTAATAGCATTAAATGCAATTAAAAGAAGTCTCCTTGCAAATTATGTTCCTTTTAGAAGAGTTACTTTCAATTTCACAGAATTATCAATTATGAATTATAGAAGACACTGAAAATCCACTCTTCTAAGACCCTACAATTCACACATTTTATAGCTTTAGTACTTCCTAAATGGGGGGCAAATGCATTAAAACTGCCTCAGAGATACAACAAAAAATTCATTCACCCAACAAGTCCTCTCAATTTTGCTCATTCTTATTGCTATGTAGCTAGTAAAACTCTTCTTCAAGTTCTTCACAATCAAACCATCTCAAATCTCTACTTTTCCTTTCACTACAACCCTGGTCCCCTCACTCTTTACCCCAAGCCCTATGCATGTTGACACATTCCTCCAGGTTCCAAAATGCCTTCACTACTTGCTAAGATGTCTTTTCCCTTAAAGGCCCAAGTGCCAGTTTTCCTCTACAATACCTCTAATAGAATCCATAATCTGATATCTACACCAAATCCTGGCATTTGCCATACAGTTACCTCACACAAACATTCTGCTTCCCAAGCTCTTCTGCAGGCACTCAAGGACAGAGACCTTCTATGATGCCCCATGCTGGCTCTACTCTAGCACATGCCTCAGCAGGTGTTTCTAGATTTTAAAAAGCATCCAATCAGCACTATATCCTACAATCAGGGCAAGAATGAAATTTTACCATTTGAATGAGGGGTCACCTGGCTACTTGAAAGTCTGCATTATAGTTTCTTCCAGTAAAGAAAAGCATGAAATTAATTTCTAATTCTCTCTCAGAGAAGGCTAGAATTAAAGGATACCAAATTTAATGGCTATTTAAGGACTTAACTGCTAGACACATCTCTGGCTTCATTATTGTCAGTTCAGCTCTTCCCCCATAACTTTTAATTCAAAGCAGCTTCATCTCCTGATATAAAAAAGCAAAATGTTTCTCAGCAGGGCTTGGCAGAAGAGGGAGTGGTTCTGCATAGCAGCTTCAGTTCCTGATGTTGCCACCTGATGGCACCCCCAAAGTGCAGAAGAGGCAAGGGGCAGGCCCAAGGAAGTTTTGTTTTCTAATAAAGAAGCCCTGGGGAAGCTTCATTCTCTGGTCCTGCAAATTCGGTTTTAGGCAGGGTCAACCAGGGCTCATAGTTTTTTTGAACAAAGTTAAGTTCCCAAAAGAACAGAGGGCAAAATAAATTTTTTAAGTCAGCAATAAACTGATTGGTCATCTAAGGTTTGAAGTCCTGTGGCTAAGGACTCTTCAAAGCACTTTCAGAGCTCATCTCACAATGGCCTTTCACTTAAGAGCTATTGCTGGAAAATGAAGGTGGAATGAGATGGACATTATTATTCAAAGTACATCTATGAAGACATGAATGGTGTGAATATACTTTGTATACAACCAGAGATATGAAAAATTGTGCTCTATATGTGTATTATGAATTGTTATACATGATAGCAGAATGCATTACAATGCATTACAAATCACAGTTTTTAGTATTATAATCTTCTGAGGCAGGTTATCAACTGCCTTACAAACAACAACAAAAAAATATGACATCACAAAATAGTAGAAGAACCAGGAGGGAATCACCTTTCAAATTTCCACATTCTGGCTTGGTTCCAGAAATCCTTGAATGCCAGGATTCTCTCTGGAGATTCAGGCTCTAGTCTCAGCTCTCTCACTAATGGAACCCCTAGGCCTTGGATTCCTCACCTCTGACATGATGCCCACAGAGGTATACTCTGAGAGTCAATGAAAAACAATTGGTGCTTTCAGCCAATTTAAGCTTATAGTTCATTTTTTCTGTCTTTCTAACAGAACCATATGATCTTCATGATTCTTCCTAGACCACATATTTATGGAGGGAAAAAAAAGACAATTGCAAAGATTAGATTGCCACCTATTTTGTCCTAATGGTTTAGAAACAAAGAGGATTTAAATACAGCTAAATCTTCCATTAGTAGAAACAAATGGTCTTTAAGAAATAAGAATGATGCTGAAAGTACATCTCATTTCTCAGCTTTTAAGTCTGGGGGAAGAGATGAGTGAAAGTATCTTAGCATAATTTCAATGAGTACAGTAATAAAAGTATAAAACAAATCAACCGAATGTGTCCAATATAGTCTGGATTTGTATGACCTCTTTTTCTAAGCCTCTGTGATTCATATTGACATTTCCCCAATTTACAGGAGAGTTCATTTGTGAATAGGATGTTTGGAATTTTAACACATTTCCCATGAAAACAAAGTTATTTATACATTTGGCAAGGTGCCCAGGGTAGTTGGTTCTAAAGGTTTAGCTAACCCATAATGGGCCAAGAATGTCAAACTCGGGATAAGAACAGTTCTATTATCTCAGATCTATTCAGAATTTCAAGGTACTGAAATTTATCTTCCCAAAAGGAAGAGGCAGCAGGACCTATTCCAAATCAGTAGTTTCTTCAATATTACACAGAAATAGCTAGAGGGAAAAAATTCTTTTGATGAGTTATAGTAGGGCAGACCTAATAGGGCAGAAAGTGAAGTAGTCTGATCAAAGGATTGACCACGGATCCAATGAAGCCACAGCTTCAGGCCCTTTTCTTACACATGGTCCTGGGAGGAACCCTAGCAATATAGTTTCATGGACATATTCTTTTGTAAACTTTGCAAAAAAAAAAAAAGATATATCCATCACAATCAGTTAATATGGCTCTCTTTCCACTCCTACACTCTACATACTTGCCCTCTTGTCAGGTGATAGTAGGTTTGATTAAGGGGAAGCTAACTTGAACAAATAGCAGTCCTTTCCTATCCATGCATTTTCAGTCACCCATAGTTAACTGTGGCCGAGAAATATTAAATACAAAAGTACACAAGTAAATAATTCATTTGTTTTAAGTAACTCTTATTGAAGTATATTTTACAGTTATTCTATTATTAGTATTGCTGTTGATCTTGAACTGTGCCTATTTTATAAATTAAACTTTATCATAGGTATAAATGTATGGGAAAAGACACAGTATATATAGGGTTCCAAACTGTCTGTGGTTCCAGGCATCCACAGGGCATTCTGCAATGTATCCCCTGATGGATAAAGAGGGACTATTGTATATTTGTTTTGCACTTAGAGAGAAACACTGATAAGGTTCACAGTCACTCTTTGCACAGAGTTAAATTATTGCTAGCAGTCCTGGTTTTAAAATGCCATCTAAGAGTATTTCCTAGTTCTTGTGAAATCAACTTACTTAAGCCTCATGATATTTTATTAAGATAAGACCAAGTTGGTCAAATTATATTGTTATATTGTGTACATGCCCAAATATATAACAACCAATCCCACCATTATGTACAACTATAATGCACCAATAAAACAAGGCCAGTATAACTGCATTTAGCACTGGATCATGTGAGTAGTGAAGAAGAACAAACAAGATTAAATTAAACAAGGTTTGAGATGTACAGACCAGAAGCCAGTCTTCAAAACATACTTCCAGTTAGAACACTTAAAAAGTTCTAAAATACCATAGGAAAAACATAACAATGTACTAGTTAATAAGTGTTCTTAAGTAAAATCTAGTAGTATTTTTTGGCTTACTTGCTACACAAGAAAACTCGAAATGCCTTGAAATCTTATAGTTCATATAAAAGAAAAACCTGGAAGTCATTGTTCCAAAGATGACAACAAACCTAAATTTTACATGGCATGAA